ACCCTGACAAAAAAAGGTCATAAAATTTGGCATGTATTTTCTGAGCCCTCCAGTCTTGTGGAAGGACCTTTTTATTGCTTTCTGTGATGGGAAATATGCAATTTGGTTTGGGGTGGGTGGCGTTTCAAATCTTTACAATTTCTTTTTTACTTTCTGGATCAAGTGAGCTGTCTGTCAAAAAAAGAAAAAAGATTCCTGAAAGGTAATCTGGAATTCAGCACTCCTAATAGTAAAGGGCCTTGAATCGGACAGTCCTCCTTTAGCCTCACTCATTCGTTCCAGGAAATTGACAGAAATTGCAGCTGTTTTGGGACAGAGCAATTCTCAATGCTCCAAGTATGTCCATTGGTCCCAAAGTTTTGGGGATCCTTGCTCTAACTTAAGTGAGCTGGCAAAATCCTCGATCTTGTTTCATCTTCAGAATGATCCATACTGAAAAACCTGGTTATTTCCATTTTTTCTTCCTTTTATTATTTGTGTCACATCATGGTGAAAAGCAAAAACAAACAAACAAACAAAAAACAAACAAAAAAAAACCAAGAAAAAAAAAACTGTTTGATTTTAGGCTATTTTAGCAGACCCTGCCTAGTATTGCATGGGACGCAGATCTTGATTGACTTTCTTTCCTTTTGTTCCTAATGAACCCGTGGAATGATTAGTTTGTCAGTCGCCTTTTCTCCTTGTGAAGGGCAACTTGTTATTAAGAACTGTCTTCCTTTGCTCACTCACTGTTTCTATTACATTTCAAAACCTATTTCCCATTATCAACCCCCTCTCCTCCTCCATAACCTCATTAATTGCAAAAGCAGCTGCAAAAATGGAGGGTGGAAAACTGATGCAGCACAACCAAAAAGAAAAAAGAAACAGCAACCAACGATCTAATGCAGCATGAGATTAATACTTTAATACTGTTCGGCCCACGGATTGGTAGGATGTGAATGAGGATGTCACAATGGATTGCTTTAGTCAAAGATCCTCCCTCCCTTCTGCAGCAATTTAAATGTAGCAGAATAAGCTGTCGATCTGAACATTAGGACCTTGGTGCCTGTTGCAGATTTTCTGTTCCATTAGAACTGAACATTTGTTAAGAGCTAAGAAAATGCCAGCATGTAACAATCAGGGAAGAAAAAAAAAGCAGAATTGGTAGAGTCCCAATTTAGGACACACTGTAATGGAGATTTCAGCCATTACATGATTGGATATATTCAAAAACAATCTGTAAATAGATTCACATAAATATTTAAATAGTCAGTCATGCACTTGCACTGAATTGTGCATACAGGTAACTTGACACTCTTGCAAAAATCATATAAAAAAAAATAATCAGCAGTGCATCCATTCTCTGTGTGCTCTGAATAGACCTAACAGAAAAAAGCAAGACGGAAGAAGGCAGGAAGGGCTCATGAGTGACATTTAAGTTCAAGCTGTGATGCAATCGGGCCAGTGTATTCCAAGGAGATGAACTTTGGACCGGGATGGGGAACAAATTAGAGGTTCAATGCTGCTTTGTGCAATCAAAGACTGTTCAGAAACAAGCAAATCACCATCTTCTACAATGTCCACCTTTATGCCCTTGATACAAGAGTGGCTCTTAAATTAGCAACATGAAAGGAGAAACAAGTAGGCAGAAACTGAAAGCAACAATGAGGCTTTTGAAACCAGGCTGCCCTCAGCTGGCAGCTGGTTGCTACTACATTTCTTTTCTTTTCTTAAAAACTGCTGGCAACCTTCCTTTTCAAGCTGGCTGTTGTGGGCGCCTGTCAGTGGCGATCAAAGAAGTGTCGTTCTTCTAGTCAGCTATGGGCTTGAATATTCTCAACTTTGACTAGAAGCCAGGGGATGTGTATCCTCTCCTCTTGCCTGCCAAAGAAGGATTGGTTATATGTGACAGAACACATAAAAACATTTTCTCCATCTGTTTCTCTCACAGTAACCATAAATATTTAGCTAATCGCAGAGTTGGGGTAAGAGAGCGCTGGTTGGCTGGGATTTCTGTCCCCAGTATTCCCAGCTAGCACAGCCAGAAATGTATGTAAGAGTCCTAGTCCAAAGCATCTGGAGACACTCAACTGATTACCCATTTCTTTATTTTTAAAACAGAACAACTCTGGGTGGCTCACAACAAATTTGAAACTAGAAAACCATAAAAATCCATAAAACAAAAACAAAACAACCAGGGCTTCAGTTGTCCTTCTAGGATGTCTCAACAAGTATCCACAGGCTATCACTCTATGCAGTGTCTGGGCAAAGAGCCAGAATCTTGATATTCTGGGGAAGAGATGATGGAGAAGATGTGTCAATTATGCAGCAACTCCTCAGAATATAGTTATTTATATAGACATAAAGCTATGACATAGCTGTTTCTAATCCTAGCTGTGTAACATCAATCCCAAGCAGAATGTCTCATAATTCCTGTCCACAAATGTAACAAACAGTTGTTCCCTCAATGAAAGGGAGTATGGCAGCTCTCTGAATTTGGCAGACAAAATGAGAGAAAGAGAAAATTCTTCTTAACGATTAAAGGCCATGCTTATAGAGAAAGAGAGATGATGTTCTAGAACAGTTGAGGTCCACCTAATACATCAAAAGCACATCTCTTGGGCCTATAAGGTGTGCAACCAGTGCAAGTTAGGTCACTTTTTCCCATCATCATCACAACTAAAGTTACTCAATTGCTATTAAGAGAAGCTTCATGAAGGCAACAGCACAACAATCTAACCCAATTCGACAAACTGAAGCAGAAATAAGGGCTCAAAATGCTAACTGGAGTCTAGCCCACAACAATACAGTAGCCAATAGGATTTGGGCACCTGGGGAAGATATATCCCTGTCTACTTTCTCAGCAAGTACAGTAACAGGACATGAATCATGGGGCACTTTCCCCAACTTTATCCAGATAACTTTTTGTTGGAATGTGTGAACAAACAACTTGTATTTAGAGCTACGGGTAATTATCCAATGGGATATAGCAATCTAGTTGGGATAGAAGACAAGATATTAAAATCTTAAGTCCCTTAAGATTACAGTAAATGATACATATAACAACAGGATATCTGTAAACATTAAATGTGGTTCTTTAGGAAAAGTGAGTTTGTGGGAGTCAAACTCTTTGAGAGAAATTGATGGGACTGGAGATACAACAAGTTGATGGGACAAGACATGAGATATTATTTAAGATCTGTCTTTTTGTGTAGTTCAAATTCTGGTCCATCCATTTTCCATTTTGGTCCTTTAATTTTCCAGATTTTGAATGTCAAATCAATCGAGGAAGATTCTGCAGAGCTCCAGCAGATCAGACCTTTGAATATCAATGTTATCTCATAGGAGAAAACAGAAGTATCTTTATTACATTTCAACCAATGTCTTCATACTTTCCTTCTTAAGTACTGATCAGCTACTACATACCCATCTGCCAGTGCCAGATTTAGCAATCCGTCGTTTGGAAAAAGCTATTTTCATATATTACCATGGCAATATCTACATCCTTTCTTATTTCTTGCTGAGAGTGAAATCAGGTAGCATACGGGGTAGTAGAAATGTGTTAAGCAGAGAGGCAGGATGATAGCTGTTTTTTTAAAAGAAGAAATAGAAAATGCGATTGGAAAAGGGCTCACATCTCTCTATAGACCAATGTCCTTCTCCCAGGTTTCCAAAAAAGATATTTAGCAAGGTTTCCTAAACCAAGCCTCCACTTTTGAATTGTCTCATTATTTGGGGCAATGTCCAATATTCTTCTCTTGTCTGTTTCATGGACAAACATACATATTACAGAATATTTCCATGGAAACAGTGATGTAATGCAGGAGGCAGATAGCCTCTAAGTATAGAAAGAAAGGGGACCAAGAGAGATGGTTCTAATGCCGGTTTTCCATTAACGAAACAGCTTCTGATTTTCTGAAGCTTAAATATTGAAGGGTTGGAGACGTTACGGAGCCAAGTGAAATGGAGGAAGGAAAAGAGAAAGACAACATTAAATTATGCAAGTAGAAGCCTAGTTGCACAATACTGGATTTTGCCCTTTGTAACATAGCAACTGAGGCGAATATAGAAGCATTCTGTGGAAAAAAAATCAGTAAAATCCTCAAAGAACATAATACATGTAGCAGGTTTACTAGGGAATTGAATGACCCTCGCCCCAAATTTTATTTGAGCTTGAGATGTTCAGTTGATCAATAAATAAATGCCACCCAATACCGTCTTCAGTATCTCACATTAAAAAACACAGGTAGAAAAATGCAGATCAGACTCTGCTACCACAAAGACAACAATGATACCTACTATCATCCGTGAAGTAGACAATAGTTGGCTAGATGTTGGAAGAAAGCACTTGTTAACACAGAAACACACAGAGTAAGAAACAGAACTTTATAGATTTAACTTGTTTTATGCCCTTTTCCCCCTGCATCTTTGTATTCTTGCCTACGGGACATAGCCAGTAGAGTTTTCCTTACTCTTCTTCATTTCGGCAGGTCCTTCTTTGTATCTATGTCATGGAAGGCTACCGTAGGACCCAGAATGCTGATGACCTGATTCAGTAGGGTTCTTCTTATGTTCTAAATGTCATACAATGCTAATCGCTCACTCTGCTCTTATAACTCTATTTCCCAATTGACACAGTGGGACCAAAATGTCATCTTTAGTTTGTGTAGTTTCTTCAGTAGGAATTCTGTAAGTAAACTTTGTTGTTTATCCTACCTTGTCAAAGTACCTCTCCTCCTCCTCCTCCCTTTTGGGAATTTAAAAAAAAAAAACTTCCCCTTTTAAGCTGATATCCATTGAAGTATGGAAAGTGGCTAGCTAAGGCCTTTCACCGCCCTGAGTCCTTCGGGAGAAGGGCGGTATAGAAATTTAATAAAATAAAAATAAATAAATAAAATAAAGGCTCTCCTATTGACATTAATAACTGAGCAGAAATCTAAATCAAGAGGCAAAACAGTTCTAGGCTGGGAATCAAGGACAAATACAGATCAATACTACAAGAACAAGCATTGGAAACATAGCACGGTACAGTTATTTATTGAAATACCAGAAAAGGCCATTGATGGGGAAAATAGGTTGGACAGGAGGAACTTCCATTTAGTAAACCTTCTTGGTAGATTTAAAAATGCCACCTACAGGTCACTCCAGCCAAATACAAGATGCAGTACAAACCATGCAATTCATTTATGACCAAGAAGGGTAGAGTATGGGGTGTTTCTACTTCAGTTCCACCCCTGCACAGAGCTTGTCAGATAATGACTTTCCAAACTTGAGGGAATGAAACACAGACTTCTGGTGAATTATAAACAATTATAATACATTGCCCATGGGACTGGAAAAGGCTATAAAACGTCAAGTGGAAGATGAGAGATGCGCAGAATGGCACATGGTGTCAGATGATGATGCGTTTCATTGATGATACTTCATTTTCATTTAACCAAGGGAATACCGTCTTTCTCTCTCTTTCCTTGAACTGAGGCACAATTAGCTGCACAAGGAATAATCAGCTCAAGCCCAATCAAATCTGCCACAGAAGAACACTCCTGTAACATATGAGCAGTGGCTACAGGAAAAGTTGAGTTATTAAAGGGATTTTTTTTTTTAAAAAAAGTCAGTCCTCAAATCTGGTATATCCAGCAAGAACTTTTGATACCAGTGAAATAAATAAACACATTTCTGAATTCTGATTCTGAAATTATACTGCCGAAAACAAATCCTACTTGCAATTGTTTCACTCTATTTGAAACATTTACGAATGGAATTTCTAATAACCTCTGGGGACATTAGGCCTCCCTGCCTGAATATATATATATATGTATATATATACAAATTATTGTACAATAATTCCCTTTTGGCTTTTACAAGTGTACCCAAGAGTAGCCACTGTAATGCAAATCCTCTTTTCCACACCCTATGCAATACTGCAAGTTTAGAACTATTATTTAAAATAATCTTATCCATGAATTACAAATAATAAAGTACTTTGCATATATAAATATTTCTAGCAGATTTTAGAATGTACATAAAAGATTCCCCCCTCACTTTGAATAAGCCCCTCCCCCCCAAAAAACCATGCTTTCCTCCAGATCACCGCTGTTTTAATAATGCTCTGTACATGGCGAAGCCCAAAACAGCAAAGACTGTAGCACCAAAACTTGCTCGAAGCCAAAAGGTAGAGCTCTTCAGGTCTGCCTGTGTCACGTGCCTGAAATACAAAGAATATTTTTTTTTTAAAAAAATTAAAAAATATTGAGATATATACAAGCATCAAAATGTGTAAGCTCGCTTTCAGAGATTTACTATGTACTCTTTTAAGGCATTTGCGAACTAAATGTTTTTGATGCAATGTAGGGAAGTGAATGTTCTGCTCTGTCTATTCAGAAAAGAAGGGTTATATTTCAATTCAGCTAACAGGTCAATTTGACCGATCTATAATTCCATTAACTTTTCACAGCAAGGTAAAGTAAATAGATCACATTTAGGCTTATCCTGCAATATTAAGCCAATTGCTTTTATGCTGTTCTGAAGACTTGGGAATTGGGCAGTGCATAGCTTGTTAACTTGTAGTTGTAAAAAGACTAACAATCTAATCAAGGAATGACTGTTCTAGAACAGGGGTCCCCAACCCCTGGTCTGTAGACCAGTACCGGTCCATGGCATGCCAGCAATCGGGCCACGCAAACAAGCGAAGCCCCATCCATGGGATGCAGGCAGCATGCAAAACCGTACCCTCTCTGGTCTGCGGAAAAACCTTTCTCCACAGAACCAGTTTCTGATGCCCAAAAAGTTGGGGACCGCTATTCTAGAATCATCTAAATATAGATGACTTAAAAAGGAAATGCTATTATACGCTGTCTTGCTTACTAGTCAGCATTTTCAGCAAAGTTGTCCCTTCAGATTAACTACCCAAGTGATTGTATGTACTAACTTCTTTGCTGTGGTGTTTCTAACCAAAGGCAGAGTGCCTAAGCACAGAAAATAATCTTGAACACTAGCACACAATAAAACTGTTAGGCACACCAAATAGTTAATGAAACACAGATATTAAACGGGTGAAACCAAAATGCAACAGAACAGTATGGAGGATGAAAGGAAACTATAAATTTAAGATCAAAGTAGCAAAAATTAACCAAAAACCAATGATCCAAGCCTGCCAGCATGCCAGTTTGTGAGCATGCTCAGTTAGCTTTCATGAAAAACACAGCCGACCATAATGCAACAGATAAAAAGCTATCAGCAAGGAGTTTTTGCAATGACCTTAGTTCAAGGCACAGTGATTCTCAATTGAGTATTACAGAATTGATATAGGACTGCATTACAGAATAGAACACGAGAAAGAATTCCCTGCCCTAGGCACTTTTAAAACTAAATCAGAAATAATGGGAAACCTACAAAAGTATACACCATTACCTTCAGAAGAGCAGATTCCAAAGTATAATTTAAAGAACTACTGTAATATATTATTATCAAAGATTGTGAAAATATCTACCGTCCACTTAAGAGGGCTGAAAATTACTGAATCAGCCATTCACAAAATGGCAGCACATATAGGAAGAACAAGAATTATTGTTTCTTTTCACTCCAGCACATTGGTCTAATCCAGTTTTATTCACCAAGCAGTCCCCCAGCCTTTATGGTTCAGGGAGGTCAGTCTGCTTTGTGCAGGCCTAACTGGGATAGTAGCACCATCTGGCCTCTCTTTGCCAAGCAGTGAGCAAGCCAGCACCTTCTGCTCCACTCCAAGATTGTTGTCCTCAAGGACTTCTTCATCGTAGAGAAAAGTTCATGTTGTAGACAGCAGCTGGGGAAAAGCAATTGCTTTATACCAAAGTTTCATTTGCTAATCTTTGCAGATTATTTGCCTCTAGTTCTTAACCTATCATCTGAACTGGGTATTCAGGGGGCAGCATGAATTCTTTTGGGCTTCAAACAAGACTGGGACAAAACCACAATGGAGAAAATCTGGAACAAATGGCATAGTCCAGTTTATCAGACCAAAATGGGTGTTCCTTTTCAGACATCCAGGCAACAACACATTTTGCATTTTGCATATTCAACGGCCTTGCTTGTTTATTGCTAGCAATCAGCGAAGCTGGCAGGTACAAAACTATCTGCAGTTAATTTCAAAGTTTGGTTCTTAAGGGATGTGATCTGAAACAGATCATCAGGCAATAGATGCTGATAGGTTAGTTCTTTTCAATCTCTCACAGCAAGACATTTACTGGATTTCTTCTCTATAAAGAGTTACCTGTCTTCCAACAACTGTGGATCAAGGGATGACTCCATGAAGATGGAATCCTCTATTGAGCTGACGGCATGTACTTGGTGAACAATACTGCTCTCCTCGTCTGACAACAGCAAGGCACCCAACTCATCTATGTGGGCTCTCAACCTTTTTACACACATGCACACAGATGGCAAGTTCACAGCATGGCTCAGAACAGGAAGCTACATATCAACATGGCTTACAATCAATTTCAATATCCGTTTTTAATCAGAAAGTCTTGGCCGTAAGATTCAGGTTAATAAAGTAGCATGGAAATTAGTGACAAGTCCCACGGAAATGTAAATCGCTCATCAAAGTTTCTCCTTTTTTTATCCCACGTGAGAGAAACCCCCTTCTTTCCAAAATTCTTCTTCTCCTACTTTGCTTTGTTTTTGAATTACACGTTTGTAGACATGCAATTTTGAAGAACAGGTCTATCGCAACACTGGATAGTGGCAAGTAGAATGTTATATTAGTAGCAAATTCTTGCACAACAGCTGATTAATGCAAAAGCTTATGGGAAAGGGGTATTCTGATTGGAGTGTTTGACCATTCCTGGATCCAAAACAAGGCAATTCCTCACAAAAACAATCTGGGATCTGGCTAGGGGTTAACAAAGTTCTCGCCTCACATTACTAAAGAAGCAGAGGTATTTCTCTCCAATATCCCATGCTGGGAATAGGAGGAGAATCCTAACTACTTTTTATAGTCAAGTTCACAGAGTAAAGTAAAAAATGACTTTGTGTGCCCTATAAATTAACTATGTTCAGGGTTGCTATTAGCTGGGAAGTAATCATTTCAAGCTCAAAAAGATATTTGCATATTTGTGATTTAGAGACACCAAAAAGCTACCCCACTTCCAGATCCTGTTGTTCTCATTTTTTTTTCTCTTCCTGAAAGAGGTTGAAAGGTTGCCCTCCACTCATAATTTAACTGTAATTTACCAAACTGTCAGAACTCCAAAACTGTGGTTAAAATAAACAATGACCCATTTTTAACAAGCCCATTTAAAAAAAAAAAAAAAAAGCAAGCCACAACTTAATATTTTTTTGCTTGCAATTAAACTCAGTTTGTCAGCCTGGATGATCAATCAAAGCAGAAACTGGCATTTCTAAGCTCTTCTTCTCTAACATGCAGAAGAAAGGGAACCCCAGGAGAAGACCAGTCCTTTCATATTTGCCTCAACCAGAGCTCAGCACGATGTCCAAATTCTGTGGATCTCTTCACATTTTGGACAGTCATCTTCACATATTTATATATGAAGTACAGAAAATAAATTAAAATTCACTATGGGCCAATAAATACCCTTTCATAAATAAAGTTCTTTATTTCAGAACCATTTTTCAAAATTAATGTGTGAAGAGATTGCTGGGAATGCAATTCATCTAGAGAGAACAATGGTGTGTGTGTGTGTGTGTGTGTGCGTGCGTGCTAAAGCATAAAACACACACCCATAATCAAGAAGAAAACCTTGTTTGAATTGGCTCCACAAGCAAAAATTGTATTTGCTGCCTCTCTTTCATCACATTAATTTTTAGCCATCTATTATTTCAACATTATAGTCACTGGGCTCAAAAGCAGAAAGTGTCAAGATATAAACCAATTCCATATTGGTTCAAAAAATTAACAGAGAAGAACTATTAAATTTGCTCCTAGAGAAAAAAAAAAGACCACGTAGTAGCAAGACAACTATTTGTTTGGTATAGTGTTGAATTCTTATTCCATTGTCACAAATTTGAAATTAGCAAAAGTTGAAACTGGACTCCTGAATCCCTGCCCTGGAGAATTCTAAATATTAAGAGATCTGCCATCAAATGTCAAAATCAGTGTCACCCTCCTCCCAGTATAATAAGCTGCAGTGGAATGATAGTCCTAGATTTTATCTTTCATTCACTTAAAATGAAAATATGTTGGCATCTTATCTGATAGTACCAACCATAAAGTAATGTGTTTTAATTACTGGCTAATCAGTGCTGAAATTGTATTTAGGCAATGGTTTTTTTTTTTTTTTAAATAATGTCTCTGCATTTGCAACCTTTACCTGTTGAATTAACAGGAACTTATACATACTGGTAGATCCTTTTTGGCCAAAACCCACCCCCTATGACGACTGGGTACATGTTGGCTTACATATGCTATTTGCAAATACAGATAGAATAGTCTTATTGCCTCCGACTCATTTGCTTTTGGCTTCCCTTACAAACAGGAAGATACACCCAATCTGGAGCCCAGCAGAGTAAGTAGCACATAAAAGCTAATTCCATGATTAAGGGGACATCAAAGAAACATCAGGAACATGGTGGGAAAGATATGCTAAAATACACAACAATGACAAGGCACTTGTGGATCAAGAAGCCAAAGGACTGGAATGCCCCTGATGCTGGAGGAATTCTCTACAAAACTACACAGGACAAATGGGAAAAATCCAGTACGGATAAAGCTCTTTTCCAGCATAGTGTCTCTGTGTGTGTATCTGCGTGTGTGTAATCCCAATATTATGTAATTAGCTTTTTCTCCCTCTCAATTATTTATAGTAAGCCTCTTTCAATTATTTATCGGATTCATTTCCATGAACTCAAATAAAATCCTCTCACCGAAACTTGTATTTTGTTTACAAAAAATGTATTTTGAATAAGACAATTTCAGATGCTCAGGATACTTTCCAACGGAGATTCCCTTTTTCAAACTGATCCAACAACATAACTCACTAAGGTCTGGGTTCCTAACCTTGCAGGATGATGTTTACCCAAAGACCTCTCAGACTCTTTTCCCATGACTGTATCTTAAGTTTTAAATATTATTTTAATTTTTTTTAAATTAAATGGAAGCAAGCATACTCCAACAAGCCTCCAATTTCAGCCGCCATTTTTATTTCCAAGAGAGAAACGCTGGGTTTCATACAGGCACCAAAATAATTCATAGAAGTTAAAAATTGTGGATGGCTGCACCCACCATTTATTTACTTTTTTTGGAAGAGGGTCAGACTGCCTAGAAAAAATTAATGGGTGCTGTGGACCTCATTATGCCCTCTAGGGCAGCTAGGAGACTTAATGTTGGTGCAATAGTATTGGGCTGTCATTAGCAAGACCCAGATTTAAATCTACTCTCACTCATGAAAATTCACCTTGCTACTTTGGGGTACTGCTCTATTTCAATGTGGAAAAATAGGAAAAGATTATATATGCCCCTTGACACCCCCCCCCCCAAGCCAAGATAACAAATAATGACTTTGTGAGCATGCCCATGACATGTTCTCAAACTCTTGACTCCAGCTGGCTCAAATATTTGGGGACTTCACCATTAACGTATATGCATTAAATGTCTAATGGGAGATTCTCAGTCATCCAGGTCATGGTTGTCCCAAAGGTGCTTTTTCAAAAGGCAACTGGACTTCCTTGGTTTTTCCTGGAAGACATTTCGCTTCTCATCCAAGAACTGAAGAAGCTTTTTGGATGAGAAGCGAAACATCTTCAAGGAAAAACAAAGAAAGTCCAGTTGCCCTTTCAAAAAGCACCTTTGGGATATTCTCATTAAATTTTTGAAAACTCTATGAGAGGTACGACCTTTCTTCCTTTCTTTTTGTTTTTTAAGATGATGAGGCAGAGGCAGAAATAGTAAATCAGTCTTTACCATTCATGGCACATGCAAATAGAAAAAAGCAAACGCCAAGACAATGGTTTGAAAGCACACAATGAATTAGAAAATATACTTAGAAATGTAATAATTTTAAAAAGATGCACAGGAATGCAGCAAGAGGAGTGTAAGTGCCAGCCAGAGAAATGAAAACGAAGACCTAGAGGAAAAAACAAATTAAATCAAAATAATCCAGCATGGTCAAATGTTTTCTTTTCCTAAACTATATGCGGTATATATTGCTTTACATACAACCCCACTTCTTTTGAAGCCTGTAGAGGAAGAAATCCTGGGCAGTTCAAATCAACAATTTGTGTCTCTCAATGGAGTCACTTTCACAATAAATGAAATCCTAACTTTATAATGATAGATCTCCCTGCCTCAACTGGAAGAGCTGTGGAGCTAAAGACGTTGTTAAAAGTTCTATTTTTTATCTTTAATTTTCTCACAATGACAGGAAATTTACTAATACTCTCTTATCATTTTCTGTTTCTAGTGAGTGTAACATTGGATTACATTTCTAGACTAAAGGTCAATAAATCCCTTTTTAAAATAAGGCTACAACTAGTAGAATGCATTTTCTTCATCTGAATACATTTTTGAAATATAAATGATTCTCACTCATTTAAGCTTTAATTCTATGGATTTCAAAATAAAAGTGGGCTCTCCTATTCTTATTGGGACTTCTGAGACGAGATGTATATAACTAGATTGTGTTAGTGAAATTAACACAACCCTCCAGCCTCCATCACAGCTGTGCAAAAAATGCCTAATAAGAATCATGCTACCCACTGAAATGTGGGCAATCTGGAAGGTAATGTGTCAAAAGAAATTCAGGTTGTGGCTAGTTCAGTTCCTAAGAGATTGATAACATACTGTATTTTTGACTGTGTGACCTCCTCCATCCATCCATAATCCGTTCAGTTGTGTGCAAAAGTAGGATATCGCATGTGGAAAAAATAGGGGCTGCATCTTCCAAGCAGTATAAAGTTGTTCTAATGGATCAAGATTGAATATGCCCTACTGAGACGGCTAACAATTTTGTTTTTCTTAATTGCTGGTAGTTAACCTGGAAAAAAAGCATTCCTCTAAGCTTGATTAGGTAAATGTCTCAGGGAAGAGAAGAAATAATTTCTTTCTCCGTCTCCATACAAGAGAATTTACAAAGCTCTCTGCTAACAACCATCTTCAAACTAAATGAGATGCAGCATTCAGCAACATTTCTGATGAAATATTATTTTTAAAATCAAAATAATCTTAAATTATTTTTAAAAATTCTGAGAACTCAGGGTTAATGGGGAAAGAAAGAAAGAAAGAGAGAGATCAATCATATGACAGGATAATGCCAATGGATGGGGAGAAAAATGGAATAGATCTCATCCTTCCTTTGATGGAATATTACAGATCATATGACCAAGTGCCATCATAACAGGTGAACATAAGTGTCTTCCTTCTAAATCAGAAATTCATAAGTTAGCACGAACTTTCATTTGCTTTTAAAAGGACCAGGCAGCAAATACTTTAGAGATAGCAGAGGAAAGAAATGCTTCTGTGACCCAACAGAATAGGCTGATGGCTAACCATGATATTATTTCACCTATAGCTGCAGACTTCTGCAAGACATTTTGGATAAAGATAATTTCTACTACTACAAGGGAACCCAAAGCTAAGAATCAGGTGGCTTTTTCCAATCAGCCCTCAAGTCTAAGCCTCAGGTCTATTGTGAATTAATCTTTAAAAACTTCAAACAATATAGACAGATCTAATATTTCTTCAGTGTGTACCAGTTTCATATTTTTGGAAGGCAACGCTCCCCCAAAAAAGGCATCTGAAAGGCTGGTCAAGAGTAAGATCTCCCAGTGACTTCTTTTATTTGGTTGGTTGAGTGCCTTACACTATTAAATTCTATTTGGTTTAGAGACAATTGGAATAGATATTTGGATATTTCACTTAATCTGATTTGACACTGAGGAGATTAAAGTGATCTCTCTTCCCCCAAATATTGTTGGCCCTAAGTTCAATTGAAAGACGAGGAGCTTAGGGCTAAACTGTCTGATTTATCTCAGAAGACTTTGTAAGAGTTTATTTAACATAAAAAAAAATCACTTAAACAATTTGGACAGGTACTATTGCAGCTTCTCAAAATTGGATCAGAAAAAGAAACTGTTTGAAGTGATTGAATGGTCAATTAAATGGCAAACACAGGGCAACTTTAAGTAAGCGAAAAGTAATGCGTATGGCAACACAACACTGATGGGCTTTAATATATTAGGAAGAAGAACTGAAGGTTATAAAGGATATTTCAAAGAAGTTGCTGACTTAATATGTTTCAGCTATGAAAAATGCAAAGTCCATGTGAGAGATCATTAAGAAAGGGAATGAAAATAAAACCATCAACACTGAGTCCTAAGATAAATCTAAGGCACGTTAACATCTGGTAAACTCTGAATGCTTCTGCTTGCCATATTTTAAAGAGGATATACGCGCGGGGGGGGGGGGGAATGCAAAAGAAGGAAACCAAAATGATCAGCAAGCTACACTACTTTATGAAAAAAAGAGTAAAATATTTGGAGTTCTTTCAGCTTATAAAAATGACAACCAAGTATGTGATCAAGGTGTATAAAATCATATATAGCATAAAGACAATACACTGTACTTTTTCTCCCTCTTAGGACACCAAGATCAGAGGTCATCTGTAAAACTGACTGGAATATTTAGGAGAGACATAAAGAAGTATTCCTTCCCACAGCCCATAGTGATGAATGCTCACTAACTTGGATGGTTTTAAAAGAGAATGAATAGATTAATGGAGGATGGAGTTCCTGAGGGCTAACATCAGATTATGGGGAGCATGCCTACAAACACCAGCTGCAGGGGACCAATTATGGAAGATATTGTTACTCTATGATGCTTGCAAGCATTCCAGAAGTAGCTGGTTGGCTACTAAGAGATATAAATGTTTGAATAAGGTGAACTTTTGTCTGACCCAGATGCTGTAAAATAGATATTAAATTACTATTTTAGGTCACATTCAAAATAATGAGTGGGATATCATCTTCAAGGGCAGATAGTTTTTAAAACACTCTTCTTTTTAACCATAATTCTATTCCAGTGAAGATGGGTAGAAATGGATTTTTAGCAGTATGGTATAATTCCTTTCAGCCATTTTACCTATGATTATATATTTTCTTGCATTTTTCTTATTTCAGGGGTATATTAGGACTACAGATTCTTTTTTTAAAAAAAAGGGGGGGAGATTCAGAATAGTGGGAAAGCACCAAACAGCCTCTTCATACTTAATTAAAGCAGCTGCATCTTTCTCTAGGGCTATACAGCTGTGCTGAAAGCTATTCCCAGCTGTGTGCATGCAGCTGCTTTGCTGGGGGGGAAATGGAAGATAAATGTTTTCCTAATAGCCACCTCTCTCTCAGCATGAAGGCAGAAAGTTAAGAGGAGATTGATGGGCAGCAGCTTTTCTTCAAAGTTCAGTTTCTACTTATCTGGCTCTGGATCCATCTTTCCTGACTTTCTGTTCTTGTGGATCTTCTGAGCGCCTACCATAAAGAATGGTAGGATGGCCAAGATCTGAGGACTTCTTTCTATCATAATATAATGCTATGTCTACCCTTCTGTTAAGCACAGTATAGGGATCAATGTGATCTCCTTATCAGTCTCCCTAATTTATAGGGGAGACTAAATGATTGGCCCTTGCCCTTAAAACAAACAAATAGAATCCCTTAATATAATTCCCAAATTGCCAGCCACTGGTGGAATGAACAAACCGCACAGTGGAAGCTTACTTGAATGCTTTTATATTCCTCCACACATTGAAATAGTGGAGTGGGCATTCATGTATTCCACCTTTATATTTCAAAATGCATAATCAAAGGACATAAAATAATAATGCTAGCATAGAAGGAACTGCAGTATCACTGAAAAGGAATCTGATTTGAACTCTCATTCATTTCCTGGGCCAATTTGCCTCAAATGCGACCATGCATTTAATAAAGAGTCTGTTAGATCCATTTTTGTTTGTATGAAAACATTTAAATAATTTGCAATGTGGTATTAGTGAGATGCAGTACTGTTTGCGACAAGGAACATTTTTTACTAGATATTTCTTTATCTTTCCAATACAGTGGAATATCCTGAGCAGAGAATCATTTGTGCATTCTTAAAATGAAAAAAATATAAGTAGCATTTTGTTAAAAAGGGTTGATTTAGTTGTTAAAATGCCACAGATCTTATCACACCATATCCATTTATAAGGACCAAATGTATATATTCTGAAAGCTGGAAGTAAATGTAACTAATATCCAGGATGTTTGTGCCATTGTGCGCGTGTGTGTATCTTCCCCCCAAAAAATCAACTAATCTTTGTTATTGTCTAGTTAAAGGCAAAACCATGGTTTCAGAAATAAGTGTTGACTCACTGACAAGTTGATTTTAAGGAAGGAGAAATGAGATTTGACTCCTTTCTCAGAGTCAGTAAGAAAACAATAAGTTGATGAAGACTCTCCTGGCAATTGCTTCTCAATGACTAGAAAGAGTTTTGCATTCACAAGCCAACTCAACTCAACTACTTAACTGATGTCAAGTAGTCAGACTGATGTGCTTCAAGATTTGCTACCTTGAAGAGAACAGAAAAAATATTATTTACAAAGGGAGTGTCTTCTCCCAGCCATCTCTGTCCACCCAGTAGTTTCTAGTAAGGAAGACCCCCTTGAAGTCCTTGAGGGCCAGGGACCCACTTTTTCTGTTGGTGCCCATCTGCTTTGGAAGATGTTCCAACCAAGCCCAAGCCAGCACCAACATTGTTGGTGGTCAGAGAAGTGGACCTGGTTATTTTGGAAAGCCTTTAGGGCTGGATGATATAGCAGTTCTTCCCTGCAGTAGGCAACTATTAGTGCTAGGATATTTTCCTTGCTGTGTTAATAGCTACTATTACTGAGGTTTGGTTATTTTTCTTTTCTTTTCTTTTTTTTTTAATTTATTTTTTTGTGCTATCCATAAGTCACACAGCATCTGTAGCAAATAAATCAATAACTGGCAGGACATTTGGCTGCTTAATGGATATGGTGTGGCAGGTCTGTCGGTTTATAAAGTTCAGCAATGGGTTTCATTCATGTAATTTCCAAGCACAGCTGGTACCTAGTAAATAAAATCAAAGACCTGTTAAGAACTGCGGTGAAGAGTTTGTTCTTTACAGATTGCAGCAAGTCTGAGTTGAGGAGGTTCTGACAGATGCAAAATGTACACCTGTTGCAGGTGCACATACAGCGTAACCGGGCATGGCTGCGAAAACACACAGAAGGACAGGAGTTGAGACCTTGGGCAGAAACCATGAGAAATCTGAGCCAAAACCAAGAGAAATAGGAACTGGGAACATTTGGGGGGGGTCAGGAACCGAGGCAAGGGTAGAGTCAAGCTGGGCAGATTTTCAGGAGGAGCGTACTGTATTTTAAGGGACTCTGCTTATACACCGGTGTCCCCTTAAGAAAAAAAAACAATCCGTTTTCCACCCACATTGGGTTTAGAAACGGGAGCCTAACAGAATATGCCTAGCAGAAAGCAGCTCCTCCTTAATCCCCAGCAAAATTGGAATTCGGTTTCCTTCTTTAATGGAAAGTCGTTAAGCAACAGCTACCCTTACCTCTGGCATCCCAACTGACACACACATGCTTAAGAGAATCAAGGGAAGAAAGTCAAATACGCTATTGCTTAGATTTCTCCAAATATTTAAATATCCCAGGTTGCCAAACAGAAATTAAGAAGAGCAGAATTTCCTGAATTTAGATGTCTTTCCCCTCCCCCCCTCCAAAACTGGACTCTCCAAGGAATAGAAGAAGCAACTTTACCTTCACTGAACAACTGAAAGCCTCCCACCCAGCAGCACTGATCCTTGCACCTTCAAGATGCTTCCCTGCAGTCTAATTGGGTACAGAAAGATGGCGGTGTTTTTTTTTTTTTAAAAGGAGAATTTAGGTCAATAGCTATTTATGAGAGCTAAAAATAGAAAGCCAATATTCAAAGGCAGCGTATTTCCAATTCCTGGCTACAAGAGCAAACTCTTGCCATGTGGATTTTTTTTTTTTTGGGGGGGGGGGGGGGGAGGCCTGGAATAGAGGTTGCCATGCATAGACATTGCCTTTGCAGAAACGACTAGGAAGCCTATATTCCAGCAGAGCCATAGATACCGGGGATATATACACTGTGGAGCCTTAGGATGCACTAAATATCAGCTACGGCACCATTCTGAATCTGCCATCTGAAGGACATCTAAATTGAATCCTGCAGGAAAGATTTGTCCTGTCAAATGCAGAGACTGCAGAGTGGCCTTGCTTGGCAACAGAGTGAGATGCTCAGTGAGTAATAGCAACCTTTTCAGATCATACGTCTCAAGCTTGACAATTCTCTACAATGCGCGAAACACCGACTGTTCAAAATTTTACCAGCAGCCATGTATTTTTGAGAGAGAGAAATAAGCAAGAGACTATCGTCTAGCGGTTCTTCTCTGTGTGACTAGAAAGAAAGGAGAGGTACACATTTCAAAGGAAAATGAAAGCTTTCCATTTTAGCATTGATACATGTCAGTTTGCTTTAAGATAATGGCGGCTTCGGGAAAAAAGGATCTTCCCCTCCCCTGCTTTTTTAGTAAATTATGAGATACCTTTAAACACATAGACTGTAACGTAAATGTACTTATTTTATACAGCTTTTCGTAACTAAGTGCACTGAAAGGTATCTGTAAAGTTGATTGCTAAAAATCTCTAATGAAGTAACACATAGTTTACCTATTCTACCTTGTTCTGAAGCTCAAGGCAGCAAGTCTTTTAATTAGAATATTTGTACCTTTCAACAATTTTAAAAGAATGCTAAATTCACATGCACTTTGGAGGAGTTATTTTTCCTTGTAGTCTGTTAGGGCCTGAAGTTCAGAAAAGCAAACGGAATCATTCAAAGCGGAAGCAATCCTTGCTATAACTCCCTGAGATGAAAGAGAATGCTGATTAATTGTCTCCAGGGGAAATTAATCCATTTACAATTCAAATAAGATTTGTCCCCCGCTATTGATCATCATCCCTATTATAAAACGTAACCAGCTGATGGATAATTTTTTGGATTTTATTTTTGTTTTTTTGCTTAGAATAGCAGACCATAATGCCACATTTCCAAAACAACAGCAAACAATGTTAGATATGGAAGCGCTTTGCCACTAGGATCTGCAAAATGTTCCATCATGCAATGTTCCAACATTTAAACAAGTTCTTCCACAAGTAATCCAGATGTGGTCTATTTCCATCATGGGCCTGTTCTTAGGTCAGAACACTCTGAGATGAAACATCTTGCACATTCCCCTACTTCGACATCTGAGGAGAGAGCGACTCCTCAAACTAAAGATCTAGTGGGCATACAGAACTAATTTCATGATCCTTTGGATCCTGCATCTTATGTAAAACAGGTTTACAAGGAAATGGGCACAGATCGAATAATAAAGCATGCTGAGAAATAAGCTGATGAGAACAAAATGATCCTAATTTATACTGTACATATACCTGAAAATTCATTTCTTATCCATTTAGGAAGATAAAACATTTTAGTGCTGATGCCTTTTTTAAAAAAAAAAGACTAGACAAAACTGTATGTATATTTTGTTTCAGCATATGAGGAGCCAATCTTTTTGGGACAGACTCACAATTCTGCATTAATGGATGAGTAATGGTAACGAGCAATGCAATACATGCATATATGGAGAGAATCGAACCCCATTTTCTTTAAACTAAATCTAAGTCTTCAAAGATTCTCTGTCAAAAGATTATGTGCCAAATCTTGTGCATAAGAATTAAAAAAAAATTTAAACAGGTATTTATACTTCTCTGCCAATTTGGGGTCATTTCCCTTCATTTATATTTATTTATATCCATCACTAACATCTCCCTCTGTTGCTAAACACAATTTCACTGGGGCACAGAGTTCCCTCCTTATGGCAACCACAGCATGCAACACTGTCATGATCCATGCAGTATGAATAGAAGGGTGTTTTGGATACATACGGATACATGGCCATTGTTGTCAGTTTAACAAAGATATCTTTACTTGGTGCATCCACGGTGTTACAAGTAAAGGCTTGGGGTGGAGGCATTTTGTGTTTTTTGCAGAAGTCAGCTGGAGAAGTGCTGTATTCCTGCCGAACTTCATGGAGGTCTGACTTGGCAGCTATCACCAAGCAAGGTATCCTGCTGTCCATGAAGTGTTGCTAGGCATTTAAAATAAAAAGGAAATAAAAGTTAACTATCAGCTTGAATAAAACACATAGGTTTAAAATCTGCAGAGCTGTGATTAGTGAATTCAGCAGTCTGCCATAACCTTCAGAGGGCAGGGTGCAATCTAGATTTTTTAAAATGTACATGCCATCCTTCTTTCATAAAGTTCACATATACCCCATATGGTTATCATGTTTTTTTCCTACTATAGATTGACAGCCATTTTGTAAAGTAAGTAACCCAGAGTGTGAAAAAGATTTGGCTTGGTGTTAAGTTAGCTCGATATGGAATTTAACACTCCCATGGTTTAATGATGAACATTTTAAGTACCAGGATCCAATCTGGGTCGATTACTGGGGCCAGAGGTTTTGTCTTCCAAGTTTTTGGACTCGTGATAGAACCTATCCTCTGGGAACTTCTCTCTAGCAGAGTAGGTTAGAAATGGAATCCTAATAGAACATGCATAGCAGAAAGTAGCTCCTCCTTAATCCATAGCAAAATTGGAATTAAGTTTCCTTCTTTAACTGAAAGTCATTAAGCAAAAGCTAATGCAGCTAACACACTCTGCTAGAGAGAAGTTCCCTGAGGATGGGCTCCAGCACAAATCCGAAAACTCGGAAGACAAAACCTCTGGTTTCGGTGACTGACCCAGATTGGATCCTGAAACATTATCCTGGGACATGCATATTCACCTTCATTCGTTTTAAGTACCATCCCATGTGGACTAAAACTTCTTGTGAGATGGGCAGCCGGGTACATTTGATTAATAAATAAAAATAATATTAATATTAAAATTCTGAGCAAATAGAAATAGCCATGTCCTAATAAAGTCAACTACCTTAAAGCCAAATGGAGTTAAGTAAGTTGCTGGTTTTCTCTGCAGATATATCCATTTTTTTTCAGATGTTTAAAAGATCTACACAACTTTCATCATCAGAATTAATTTCTCAGAAAGATAAGTTGCCTTTCAAAGATCCTTGGATCTAATAAATAAATCCACTTGTCATGGATGCCTTAATGTAATTTAATGTGAATTCTCATACTGACCGGGGTGAATTCAATAGCCTATACAGCCCCCCCTGAAATCAATGATTCTATGACACAATTATTTTCTATGTGGATACAAACCTTGAATATTCTGGCACAATATTCAAAGGATTTGGGATTGCTGATATCATAGACTAGGCAGACTACATCACACATGATTTCAGCATCACATAAGAAATCAGATTCACAAACATTATGTAACTGAAAAGAGAAAGAAAGGCAATGTCAAACACTGTACAGTTACAAACACTGTAACAAATTTACTTTTTTGTACTCACTGCAGCCTGTTAAGTTTTTCCAATTTATTCTGTTGGACATAATAGGTGCTTTATTAAAAAATCTAAAGACCCAAACTGGTACTGATTTTTTTTTCATTGGATTATATCTGTGTCTACCATAATGCAGAATATTGCACAGATACAGGCTTCTCAACGTTTTATTGCCAGTAAATACACTGTTCAAGCAATGTACTGTTCATTTAATAGTCTCCAAAGACATACTATTAACTCAAACAAAAAGAGCAAGGATGTGCCAGTTCCAACCTCGAGTTACAGCAGGCAGAAATGATCTTGCAAGCACAAAAATGAGTTCAGATGGTATGTGTATAATAAGCCCCCAATCTAATATTTCAAATTATGTATCTTCTTTATTACAATACAGATCCATTTTTATGAATATTTACTACCCTGCTCTACATTTTTAATATTTACATATTGTATTTCAGTGATTTTTTTTTTAAAAAATTAAAGCTTAGCCTTAGACTGTTATGAACTGCCCTAGGAAAATCTTGTCATGAACAGGATGTGTATTTTTACAGTAAATAATACTAGAAATCTGCTAAGCTCTTCATTAAACAAAGAAGACACCTTACTATGAGAGACAGCTGTTTGTAATAATCTCAGATTGTAACAAGGTTCACAATATTTAATTGTGCATCCCAAACATGCTTTTAAAGATTAACAACGGAAAACTGGGGAAGGGGGCCATGTATACCATTAAAATACAATGTCAATAGTCCTCATAAAAGGAAAAAAGTCAAATTTAAATGTTATTATAAGGGTAACTTACCAATAAATATTTCTCTTGCCCATACACATAAACGGTATTAATTGCATAGTAGGATTTGTGCTCTGGATGTATATGTTTCTGCCTCTGAAAGCACAAAGGAAGAAAAATGTAAGAAAACACACAATTTTCTAATAAAGTGTATTTCATACTCTATTTAGACTATTTCCCAGGCTATAATACTGAATTAGGCAATGCTGTGCCTCTCAAATGTTTTGGATCAAAACAATCACAATCTCTTTCCTGATTGACCATGTTGGTTGTTCAAAGTATAGTATAAGGGTTGGCAAACGATGGCCTGCAGACTAAATCCAACCTGCCACCTGTTTTTACAGTATACAGCCCACAAGCTAAGAATGAATGGGTAGATGATTTCCAGGCCTGAACTTCTACTGAGATGGGGCATCAGTGGTCTTTTAGCAAGCTCCTTGCTTACAGATTGGGGCTGTCCACTATACTGCTTGACCTGCAAACTTGCCAACTGTGCTCACGGAGGCGCACTGTACTACATTAAAAAAGAACAAATACAAATGTGCTGGTATTTTGGTATATACCAATATAATATATTGTCAGCTAGGGCTCTCAACAGTGCCAAGAGTGAGCGTTGAAGCACTGTGGGAGCTCATAACTATCCTTGGAGGTCCATAGCACCAGAGTGACTGAAGGGATCCCTAGTCAGGAGAGCCAGCAGGTTGAAGTTGGAGGGGGAATGACTTTGGGGAGCTTGGGGCAGACTAAGTCATTCAGGTAAGTGGTGGGCATTTTGATGGGAGACAGAGAGCAGGCTGCTCCCGAAAAAGATGTCCCTGGTGTTTGGTACCGCTGTTGTGTTCTGACTCCTGTGTACTCAAACCCAGGCCCGGAACAACAGACAGACAGAGGGCTGGGCTTTTGGCTGTTGTTATTTAATGCCATGTCAAGTAATAACAAAACTCCTCTAATTTGTGATCTCATCAGTGAGGAGCAGGTCGACCTGGCATGTATTACTGAGACCTGGCTAGGCCCAGAGAGGGTGGAGCGGTTTCCTTCTCTGAAATGTGCCTGGCCAGGTTTAGGGTATGGCACCAGCCAACACCCTAGGGCAGGAGAGGGGCAATAACAGTTGTCTTCCGGAAATCCTATTGATCTTCAGGAGTGCTGCTTCACAAGTTGCTGGTTGTGAGGCCTGTTTCTGAAGATAGCCGGGCAGAATCAGGTGGTACAGACTGTGGTGGCACAAGCATACTGGGGCATCCCGGGAGGGGGTGCATATAGCACCTCTGCTATGTAAGCTGCTTTGGGTATTGGTTTGCTTCCTGGTCTATTCAGAATGTTGGTTATCACCTTTAAAGCCTGTCATGGCATGAGACCGAGCCACCTGAGAAAACATCCTATCCCTATTTCATCAATCTGTCCTACTCAATCAATCAGGGAGAGGTTGTTGTAGACCTCGTCAACTAAAGAATTTTGTGGTCTAGGAAAAGGGTCTTTTCTGCTGTTGCCCTATTCCATGAAACATCTTTCCCCCAGAGGTGAGATAGGCTCTCACTATATCCCAGCCTTCTGGAAAACCATCAATGCCTGATTTTGCCAACTGGGGGGGGGGGGGTGTCTAAGTGTAGCATACAACCTTGGATGTGACTGATGGCTTGAGGGCACTCCCTCTACCTTTAAAAAAATTTTTAACCTCTGTTAACTCTTAACTTTTAAACTTTGTTTTTACCAGAGTATGTCACTTTTCAGGGTTTTCATTTGTAAACTGCCCAGAGCCACTTAGGTGAGATGAGCAGTGTAGAAACATGATAAGCAAATACTGCACTCTGGATCTGTATAGCAAAGCAGTATTGCCAGAATATTAAATGCTGATGCATGGCTAACTTAGCAATACATTTCCTTTGGGCCCCAAGGGACCCATAACTAATTGGTTGTGCAGCTGTCCTGCCTCAAAGTTACTGGATCACAAATAAAAATAAACAGTGGATGAAAAGAACCATTTTAAGAATATATTGTAAAAGCTGTAACCAAGTGCTGTCAACAGGCAATTCCATCCCAACTCTTAACACATCGTTTTAGAGACAAACAGAAGAAGAGTCTTACCAGGAGATTTCTTCCAAGCAGGGCATGGAGAACTCCAGTTTTCCCACAACCGTTCAACCCAATTAGATTACATCTGAACACATTCCTCTGAGTCTGCCTTTTTTGAAGGTCAATCTTTTTGTCTCTGGTTACTTTAAAACAAAAATGGACACATAGTGAGACATGTTCCCTAAAATTATATTTTGTGTTTTTACCTTTGGCTGTTCACCGTCCTGAGTCCTTCGGGAGAAGGGCGGTATATAAATTTAAAAATAAATAAATAAATAAATAAATATCCTAATTCTTTACTTTAAGAAAAGTATTTTCAATTACTTTACCCTGCAAGTATCCAAATTCTTCCCAGGATAAGTTGGGAAAAGTAAAAGCCAATACCTGTAATTGCTGAGGCCTGGGATTCCTGTTCAGTCAATATTGAATATCCTAAATAGCCTAGATATTCGAGGCAGCGCTGTACATCCAAGTATGTAGTTAGTCTATAAGAGAAAACAACTATGTTTCCCAAGTTCTCGGCACTTGTTGTAGCTTTAAGGCAGTGGTCCCCAACCTTTCCAGCTTGGCACACTGGGTGGGGTATGTGGTAGGGGAGGGGAGGAATTGGTTCCGGGGCAAATAGCAGGCATGCATGTAAACAATTCCATTTGCACAAGCGGTAGGCGCACATGCCTGCCACTTGCACAAATGGAGCTTTGTGCTGAGTGTACATGCCTACAGAAATGGAGTTTCATGCATAAGCATCTCCCGCTTGTGCAAGTGGAGCTGTGCACACACGCACACTTGCCCACTGCTTCCATGGCCCAGTTCTGCACGGGCTGCAACCTGGTAGCGGGCCAAAGCCTGGGAGTTGGGGACCCCTGCCTTAAGAGCACTTTGCAGTACAAATCTATCAGTAAAATCCAGGACTATTTTATATATGTACTCATGCATTGGAATTCACATCTTCCCTTTTTGGAAACCCTGAAAAAGATTTTTAAGCTATTGAAGGCAGCAGGAAGCAAAATTAGTAATATTTGTATCAATGCTTATATACTACTTCTCACATACCACATAAATAATTAGTATGCAGTTAAACAATATTGGATTACAGCTCAAGATTTGATAACGTTAAGGTATGTTTTACATTTATCAGTTTGCATGTCATGTATTAAAAAGGCAAGATAGTGGAATGGATAGTAGAAAGAAAGACCATGTAGTCTTTCTACATTTCTAGTCATAGTAATAGTTCTCTTGGGCAACCTGCTTGTGTGAAACAAGTATGGCAATCTTTATTAAGCAGGTCTTAATGAAATTTCAGAGAGAGCAATTGGCTTTTAATTCAATGCAGAATTAACTTGTGAAATCTGCCTGGGTTACAATCATATGATTATTGCACTTCCTGATTAAATCATAGTATATGAGAAAGAGCATTTTGGCTTCATTTCTTTTTCAAACGTGCTTGTTCTTAAGAGTGCTGGGAGTTTTCAATAATATAATAATGTATTTGCAACTAGAAATAGCCATATCCAAAGAAACAATCACATAGTACCAATCACATAAATTGTCTTTGAAAGCAGTTCATTTTTCACTTTCTACCATTAAAAGAATAGCTGTTTCTAAACAAGTTGTGGGCAATCTCTAATTTATATGCTACACTTACGTCCACTGAGAAAGAAATCCCTGATATGTTATCCAACCCCTTTCATTTGTACAAACAGTGCTGTTGACATCTGGTCCCCATGGCATGTAAGGGAAGATTTTGAACAAATCCTTGAGTTCTTCAGGAGACAAAGCACAGTCTCGGTCCTGAAAACAGATTTATATTTATTTATAGCCAGTTAGCTTTGTTTAGTAAGTCAACTGACATAGCTTGTTTTCTATGCTTCATTTAGTCATGCCTCAGATGGCTTTGATTAAGAACTTCTGGGAAAGAGAATGATAAACAGAGAGCAAATCCCACTCCCTTCTAGCACTGATGATGTTAGCTAGCTAGGTAATGAAACATCTGCAAGAAAATAACCAGGCTGAGAGAGAATCAAGGACCCCACAAAACCTGTATTTTTAATGTAACAGAGTCACTTGATTGGCAAATCCTAAAATACACTACGCAACAAAACAAGTTAAATGTTTAACATATTTTAATCATTTCCAGTGCCTTCAATAGCAAAGATAATGTTTGAAAAATGTATTCAGAAAGTAAAGTAAGCCTCTCCTAGTATGGCCTCCATATTTTGGAATTCACTATTCTCAGACATTGATGAAGCACTGTTTCTCCAGGTGTTTCATAAAGCAGTTAAAGCTATATTCCACCGGTGCTTTCAACTCTATTTCATTGTTTATGGGCATTCATTTTGAGAGTGTGTTGAATAGTTGTAATATTTTATTTTTTTAGTGCTTGTTTTGTTGTATATTGCCAGGAATGTTCAGTCTGAGGCTGGTTACAAAAAAACTATCCAATCACTCAATCAATCATGTGTTCATTTTAAAACAATCCCAAAATCAGATTAAAAGCTTACCAAATCATGCTTATCAAACATGCTTTGAAGGAACAAGTATGCATGATGGTTTAACTCTGTCGTGCAGTCAGAAGGTATTTTTAACCTGATTGGAGAGAAAGTAATATCTTTGAAAAAGAAGTATGCTTACCGAACATAAAAAGAAGAGAGTGAGTCTTGCAATTGGGGGCGCGTCATTCTGGAAGTGGTTAATGGACTAAGGTAAAAACCCCACCTCCCATTGTGCATCTTGCTTTCTTTCTCCCCTTTGTCAATTTTAAACTAATTTAATGTTACTATTTACTGCATTAATGTTTTAACATGTGGGGTTTTTTTAATGACTGTAGGCCACCTGGAGTCACCTCCAGGTAATAAGGGTAGGATATGTTGAATAAATACATACATACCGACAGACCGACCAGAGACTTATTAAGCCCACTATTCCCTATCTCCAATGGCTAATCAGATGACCCTACGAAGCCCGTAAGCAAGAGATGAGCACAGCTACTCTTTCTGCAGCTGTTCTCTAAGAGTTAATATTGAGAAGTCCGATATTCAAATTCTGAATGTAGTATAGGTAGTCCTGAACTTACAACCACAACTGGGAGCAGAATTTCTGCTGCTGCTGCTAAGTAAGGCAGTGGTTAACAGAGTTGCACCCGATTTTACAATCTTTTTTTGCCAAGGTTGTTAAGTGAATCACACAGAAATTCAGTAAATCACAGTTGTTACATGAATCCAGCTTCCCCCACTGACTTTGCTTGTTGAAAGCCAGTTGGGAAGGCCTTAATTGGCAGTCACATGACCCCAGGATACTGCAACTGTTGCAAATGTATGCCGTTTGTCAACACCCAAATTTTGATCACATGCCTGTGGGAATGTTATGATAATCATAAGTGTGAGAATCTGTTGTAACTTTTTTCAGTGCCATTGTAATCTCGAAAAGTCAGTAAACGAATGGTGATAAATTAGGAACTACCCATATGTCCCACATAATAAGCTGCACTCATCATTGGAGGCTTATTCTATAATGCTGGGTGCTGGGTACATATACGGAAGATAGCTAGAAAAATCCAAACAGTTTGAAATCCAGTTTGCTTCAATGACAAAAATTAAGCCCAAAGAGTCTCATGACTGAAAAGGCATCTAATGATCATACCTTGCAAGAATTTTGCTATCATAGTTTCTTTAAAATCCAGTGCTATGTAGGTGTTCAAATTTACTTCCAATTCTCCAGAACTACCATAATTGCCCAATAATGTTCTAATCATCACATACTGGTTTCAAAATGTTAGACGCCAACTAACTAAAGGTTTCCTCTTGATGAGCTAGATTGGAATAATTTCATGCTATGAGCAATATTCTTCAAAATAGATCCAGTTCAGCATTATATGTGTCACTATATTGGGTAGAAACAGTCCAAAACTACTTGGTTGGACACAATGGAAAACAACACAATTACTGTTGTATTACTTGGTCAAGTCCAGTGGTGGGTTGCTACCGGTTTGCCCCGGGTCGGGCGAACCAGTAGCGGTGGCAGGAAGTTCCACCCACCCACCTGGATGTCTCTGCACATGCGCAGAAGCTTCTGTGCATGTGCAGAAGTGTTGCGCACGTGCACGAGCGCACATCCACGAGCGAACCGGTAGCGACGGGATTTGAAACCCACTACTGGTCAAGTCAACAGACATTCGTGTTCTAGAAAGTACTTGATTTTCTGCAGTGAAACACAGATTTTACATTTTATAGGTCAGTAATACCAACACAATTTAAACCAAGTTTTAAAAATCGATCGATACATACAAGGGAAATAAATACTCTGGTGTGAGCTCTAGGTCATCATCATATCCAAAGCACCGCAATACTGTCCAAGTTGTTTCGTGCCTCCCTCGCTGGATGAATAGTGTGTGGAGAAAAAGAAAGCCTGAAAAGACAGTTGTTTAATTGGCAATCTAGAATACAGGCTAGGGAGAGAGATTAGAATTGAAAACACAACAAAGATGCTCCAGGTACGCAAATGTGTATTTTAAATAAGAGCCTACCAAATGCTATGAAAGCATCATGCTTCCTTAAAACTGGCTGACCACTGTGTCAGGAGGGCTGAGCAGCCCTCTGGAAAAAAGATGATTCAAAGCATGTGGGCCCAGCTATCATTTCTGAAAACATCTCCTTAAGAATCTGGATATGAACCCAAGAAAATGTGTTATAAGAGATACTAACAAGTATTACTGATGGCAGACATAAGCACACTCCACATCATTTTTTTCCTTGTGAATCTGGAAAACTGCACATTCCAGATTATATTTTCAGTGCGAAAGTATCAGCAGCCCTCTCTCTCGTGGAAAAGGAATTACCACTACCCCTCCAGCCCGCTTCCAGATGCAGGCAAATCAATAGACCCAATTGTTTCGAGCTTAAGAAATATGCATCTAGAACTTACGTACTCCGATTTACACATAAAATGAGTTAATAAGTTGCCTAACCAATTCCATACCCAAACTATTCGTCTACACAGAAAGGCCAAAGTACAAGCATAGCAGATTTAAATCCATGCAGTTCTGTTGGCTTCCAAATTCATAAATAGAGATCAAGTTGTGGCTTTTGCTAGTTTCCAGATTTATCAGATCCCCTTCCCATATTTCATATAATAACGAAAAAGAATGTAGTCCTCACCCTTCAATGTTAATCCATTGTCAACAACTCCATCACTTAGATTTTTCCTTACTACGTTCTTTACATCTTCTAATGCTTGAGATGCCAGTGGTGTGTTAAAGCAAATTCTCTAAAGGGAGTAGAAATATTTGAAATCAATATTCATTGACAAAGGTTCAGTGCGCTGTAAACAGCTTCCATGTCTCATGTTAGACTCCCAGTTTCATACAAGTAGCAGAGTAAGCTACTAGCCCTGTGGTTAGATGTGCAGAAGAAGCATGTTGCAGCTTCTTAGCCAGCCATGTGGTCAAGCATAAGCCAGTTGCATCTGTATCAGAAGATACATCACCACTTTTTTGCAAGAGAGTTCTGAATACAGAATCCACAGCACTGTTGGTAATATAGAGTGGCTATATTCTGGCATCTTATTCTTTTATCTTTCTGCACAAAAAATGGAGATGGTGGAGTGAATCTTTAGAGCAGTGCTGTTTTCCCCTGCTTTTCTTTAGGAAGAACTGAAAAAAGAAGTCCAGCCATAAATGTCCCCGTCCTTTGGTATATTCTCCCACTGGAGGTGAGGTCAGCCCCCATCCTCCTGGATTTCTGGAAGAGCCTTAAAAATTGGTTCAGCTGTTTCTGCAGTCCCTCCCCCCCACCTTTACCACTACAGTTAAAAGTCCTCTACAGTGAGCATAGTAACCTTTCATGGCCAAAACATTAAAATATCAGCAGTTATTTCAACTGAGGTATTTCTCTTGAGATTTAATGAACAGTTCAGGATGAAACACAACAGAAAATGAAGAAATACCTGAAAGAAGTTGAGTTCTGCATCATTCAGGGTGCCATCATTATCTTGATCAGAAATTCGGAAGATCCGAGTTAAGGCTTTTATACAGGCAGGTTTCATCTACGGATTTAGGTGAACCAAGGAATGGGGATTACTGCATTTTATTTCCCTGCCATATTTTGTTGCAATCTAAAAACTTTACAGTTTTCACAAGACACAATCAACCAATATTCTCACACATGCTACCTTCCCATCTCTTCCAAAACACCCAGAAACATTTTTGCTTACATGTTGTAGATCAGTCCTCCTAAATCTGATTATTTTTCCAAAGTGTTGACAAATGATTCCCACAATTGCAGATAGATCTGCTGAGTGTGATGTGGTAAAAACAATATTATGTAATCTACCGACAAGTTTTAAAGGGGGAAAAAAAAGTATAAAGCAAACCTGATCTGATTCTTAATCTTTACTCCTAGAAGTTTGTATACTGGTCATGGCTGGGACAATGAAACCTGTGATTGAAATAAATAGCTAAGATATTTTAGGGGCCAATCTGGCATTGCATTTGATAGATATATCCAAGCAAACACAGAGGATCTTATAATCCAATCTGGGGTCAAGCATGGTAATAATTTTGCTGAATGGATCACTTATGAGTTCAATCTGCTAATGTACTGGATTGGTTAACAAGGTCACAATACAGATGAACACAGAAAAGGTCGGGTTAATGGTATTCCATAGTACTGGGTGGCTGACAAAGTCCCAATCCAGATTCGCAAGAAGCTGTGTGAGTGGAAAGAAAGGGAAGTATGCATGTACAATAAAAATAAGTTTCAATAATAATAATAACAGCTCAGTTTTCACAACCCAAAATTCTGTGCTTGTAATATTTAAAACTGTACAAGGCTTTGGATTTCAATTCTGAAATGAGTCCTCCCTACCCTATTGTTCTGTAATATTTTACCTATCCTGAAATAAAAATTTAAAAGTCACATTTTGTAGGTTACATTCAGTTTAAGGTGGTTTTGATTGTTTTTTTGTTTGGAGGTTTTCCCAAACTGGCCTCATAATGTCACTCATAATTTAGCATGCAGGAATAAGAGACATGAATTCAGCCTCTTTTGCAAATCACATTTCTTAGCTAATTATGAGAGCTACATTTCATCCATCAAGTCTTTAAAACATGAGAATCAATATTAATGCATCCCTCAGGTCTGCAAGCTCAAAGTATCACAACACAAGAGGTAACCATTATGTGAGAGATCTATTAAGCATTAAGTTCCAAATTAGCCCATTGCTTTCATTTAAGATTATTCTTAATTCAGAGTTGACATAAACAGAAAAGAATTCATTAAGCTGTCAAATTATACAGGAACACTCTGTGGCCCAGAGTGTCAGGTTAATAAATATTGACATAGGTTTGACAGATGTACATTTTGTTTTGACATTTGTATAACTTTTATTTATTCAAAATGATCTTCCTAAAATACAAAAAAAGGAAAGAAAAAGAAAACATGAGTTAAAAAAAAAACCTGCCCCCAAAAATAAATAACATAGGGAGAAAATAAAAGCACAATGGATTGAAAAAAATGCCTGAGCCCCAAATGCTTGTTAAATCAGATAATTCCTCCTCCTTAAATGGGAAGTGAACTTTTGGAGCCTAAATACAATTGTCAGAATGCCTCACACTCGTTTTATACTTAGACACAGTGCAAATTCTCTACACCCGAGCAAATGACTGACTTGTGAGGGAAAGAAACTCATATAGAAAACCAGTGAAGGTTTAAAAATTGATCTGAAATGGGCCAGGAAGCAAATGTAGAGGTAATTCAACTGATACAATATTGATGTTACAAATTCCAACGGTAGGCTTCAGTTAAGATTCCTCACTTCCATAGATTGCAAAAAAAAAATGGAAGTTTCCAGTCTTCATAAAACAGCTGTACCTACAGTGTGTTATAATAGCCAACTTGGATTCTAGTAAACTATGCTGACATATATCCCAATGACATTTTATTAATTGTATTAATTGACAACACGGTGGCTCAGTGGTTAAGACACTGGGCTTATTGGCTGGAAATCCAGCAGCCAATGTTCGAGTCCTCAATGCCATGTTCAAGTCCTCACCCCAGTTTCTGCCAATTTAGCAGTTCAAAAACATGCAAATGTGAGTAGATTGATAGGTACCACATGGGTGGGAAGCTAAGTACTTCATGATGTCATGCTGGCCACATGACCATGAAAATGTCTTCGGACAGCACTGGCTCAATGGCCTTGAAATGGAGATGAGCACTACCCCTATAGTTGGCAATGACTAGTGGAGTAAAATTCACAGGGACTTTTTACCCCCTCCCTTTTTTTTAAATCAACACCAGAGTATGAAAACTACTCTTAATCATCTTTGTTACAGCAGATCTGAATCCTGGAGCATTCTCAAATCATAATATAATTCCTTCTACATGCCTTTTGAAGTCAAACATTTAAATCCAAATGAAGCTCAGACATAAACACACTGAATCCTCCCAAATTAAACTTGAATGTTAGCCAACATTTAGTTCTTCATTATTCCCAAGTACTAATTTCAGTGAATAAAATTGGGCATTAGCCTCCAAAATATAAAGCCAATACAAAAAGGCATCTTTCAGGTAGCATCTGAGCAGAACATGAGAGCACTAAATCTGCAAAAAAAAAAAAAACACCACACCAAATAGGCATATGATCCTGATAAACTGCTATACGTCAAACACTGCAGCAACAGTTTCAGTCAAAAACAAGACAAAAATCTGGAAGAATGGAAGCTGCATCAATTAGATTCAGAATCACCTGGAATTGATCACTCAGAAATTATGATCTAAGACTGAGAATAATTGAAATGATTGTTACTGAAATGTGCAAGCATCATCAACTCTCATGGAAGGATCCTACCCACTTCTTCTTTCTGACTACAGGTATCCTATAGTCCCAAATATGATTTGAGAATCATCTGTACATCTGTACATCTCCACCCCAGACCACCCCAACGATGCCCTTGATGTGATGTCTCGCTGCCTGGAGGCCGTGCGGGTCTGGATGGGGAGGAACAGGCTCAGACTCAACCCGTCCAAGACCGAGTGGCTGTGGCTGCCGGCGTCCCGATATAGTCAGCAGGTGCCATCGCTGACTATTGGGGGTGAATCTTTGCCCCCCACAGAGAGGGCTCGCAATCTGGGTGTCCTCCTGGACGCACGGCTGTCTTTAGAAGAGCATATGACGGCCGTGGCCAGGGGGGCCTTTTATCAGGTTCGCCTGATCCGCCAGTTGCAGCCCTTTCTGGACCGGGACGCCTTGCGCACGGTCACTCATGCCCTTGTCACCTCCCGGCTGGACTATTGTAATGCTCTCTACATGGGGCTCCCCTTGAAGAGCACTCGGAGGCTCCAACTGGTCCAGAATGCGGCCGCGCGGGTGGTTATGGGCGCAACTCGTTGTGCCCGCGTGACACCCCTCCTGCGCGAGCTGCACTGGCTCCCAGTGGTCTTCCGGGTGCGATTCAAGGTGTTGGTTACCACCTTTAAAGCGCTCCATGGCATAGGACCCGGGTACCTTCGAGACCGTCTTCTGCCACCAATAGCCTCCCACCGACCAGTCCGCTCCCACAGAGAGGGTCTCCTCAGGGTGCCATCAGCCAAGTTATGTCGGCTGGCGACACCCAGGGGGAGGGCCTTTTCTGTGGGAGCCCCAGCCCTGTGGAATGAACTGCCCCCGGAAATACGCAAGATCTCCGACCTCCGAGTGTTTCGTTGCGCACTGAAGACCCTGTTGTTCCGCCAGGCAGGGCTATCAACTTAATAATTTTAATTGGGGTATTTTAAATGTTTGGGGTTTTAAATCGGCCAAATCTATGTAATTATTTTAATTTTTAATTATTGTTGTGTGTTGTGTTTTTAAATTGGCTGTACACCGCCCTGAGTCCTTCGGGAGAAGGGCGGTATAGAAATAAAATTATTTATTTATTTATTTATTTATCTTCTCAAATGTCCAGTGAGCAAGCAGTAGGCCTCACTCTTCCTAAACAGTCTGCCAATGTAATATACTTAGGCTGCACAAGCTGAAAAGTATCTACATTGAAGGAAAAAAGTGGAGTTGTAGGAATGTTCATTACAATACTGTATCTATAATCAGTGTAGAATCCAGGACACAATCAATTCTTCAACTTTTTATCCACAATTATTTGTAAAGTGATCATGTTGGAATATTGGATGTTTTCCACTTCCGTCTTCACAAGGAGCCTGTATGTCTTTGCCACCCAGAAAGGCAATGCATATTGCTACTGTGTGGTCACAATGCTAGCAAATCTCTTTCTTCAGTAGACCCTAAAACAACTTCTAACTCATGCTCAAGCTTGTCATAATTTGTTCTCTATTACAGTAAAAGTCATCAATCCTATCACTCCCATTCTGTAGAAAATCAGAAAGTTAGGTAAGACAGAAGTTGGAGAGACAGAAATCTTTGTCAACGTGCTAAATTATAATTCAATAAACCACAATTAACTAAGTATGTACATTGTGCTAAACCAGCACCAAATATATAATGGCTCAGTATGATGCACCAACTCAGCTACTGTGTCAATCTTTTGGATCTTTTCCTTATTTTAGGGAACAATCACTATTGCTAGATAAGACCAAAGAGAACTAGTCAAAAGCTATCAGGAAATCATGTATCTTATGTGATCTTTCATTTGTGAAGCGACAGGGATGCCCGCTTAACATTAAACTCTATAAAGTGAATTGATTCTTGTGCTTATGCTTGATTTTCAGAACAAACATAACTGATCAAGAGATTGACTTGTTATGCAATCCTTAGGAACAGTAAAGAAGAGAGGCTCAACATCATAATGAAGGCTTGTAGAATATCAGTTTGTAATTTACAATAACATTTTGGTCTACTTGGGAAAGGAGACTACCAGAGAGTAGAAGAAATTATTAAAAATAGGAAGATAGGTGACACATCAATTTGGAATGTTCTGACTTGGAGAAGAAGAATGGAAAGGTGAAGATATTTCTATCTTCTTAAAATGGTATATCTGATTCCAACCACTATACCTCTCTACCTTAAACAGCATTCACGTTTCCACCTTGGATTTTTTTTCTTCAAAAAAATCTGCAGATAATAAAGCAGAAAATGGCAAAACACTGAGAACCATATGCTGAAAGATCACTCCCAAATATACTGAGTGTCTCTTTTTTTAAGACTGGGAGTTCTTGACAGAGATGGATTTTATAGCAGAAAAGTATCAATATACCTCTTTTTCCTCTGGACAATAGAGTGGCCCTGTGGGGTGTAAAACTGCTTTCTGTGCATAATAAAACAATTCAGATATGTTCTTCAAATTCTTTGCTGAGCACTAGAAAAAACAATTGAGAACAGTTTTCAAACCTTTACCACAAAATGGAAGAAAAAGGCTTAATATGTAGCTATTGATTTGAAAATCTATTCATCCAAGCATTTGCATATTCTGCTTATGGAATAGTGATTTTTTGTACAATATCAAATCACAATTTTTTATCTCATTTAGTGCTTAAAGTTTTAGTTCTGAAGCCTACTGTTATCTTGACCTCATTTTGCCATATGCAAAGTTGTATTTTTATTTTTAGCTGCTTCAATTTTATTTTTAGATGCAAATCCTTGAAATTAATTAAAATGCAAAATGATTTCAGAATACTGGGCAGTAAAACCAGTTACATTACTATTTCTTTTAATTATATTTTAATCTAATTTCCAAATAAATACTCTTCCCCAAAGCAGTTTACGTTTTAAAAAAACCTCCTGATTTAAAATCTAGAAAGACATTAAAAAAAAAAAAGGAATGGTCAGTAAAAATGGTATTTGTATTCAGTTATGAACAGATTTCTTTTTTTGCTCTTGCTAGTGATAAAAAAGTAAAACTCAGTTCAACTGATTTGTACAGAAAACAGAATGTACTTCTACACAATTCAATACTCCATGAAAAAACTACTAGCCAAAGCAGTTCTCATTCTGGGAAAAAGGAGCTCCCTGTATCTGCCCCTTTTTCTGATGAATACAGGTAGTCCTCGACTTAAGATCACAACTGAGCCCAAAATTTCTGTACTTAAGTGAGACATTTGTTAAGTGAGTGTTGCCCTATTTTAAAACCTTTCTCACCACACTTGTTAAGTGAATCACTGCAGTTGATTAGTTGTGAAGTGAATCTGGCTTCCCCATTGACTTTGCTTATCAGAAGGTTGCAAAAGGGGATCCCCTGACTTGGGACACTGTAACTAACATAAATATGAACCAGTTGCCAAGCATCTGAATTTTGATCATATGATCATCAGGATGCTGCAAAGGTCATAACTGTGAAAAATGGTCATAAGTCACTTTTTTCAGTGTCATCGTAAATTTGCACTGTCACTAAACGAACTGTTGTAAATTGAGGACTACCTGTAGCCAAAGCCAATCTGTTCTCTTAGTATTTTCTAGGCCAGGAGTGACACAACCTCCCAACAATCCCTTATTCCCCCAGCTGGTACAGTAGGTGCTTCCCTCTACTACTGCAATCCTAGATTTATTTAAAACTAGAATTCTGATTTCCATGAAATAACTATGAATACCCACAAACATGGTTTTTTAATACCTCTACACAAGTTTCAATCTCTGTGTACTGGTTCATGATGGGAAGGATGGTTTCCATGCTACTGTACTCAACCAGGTCTGACTTGTTTCCAACCAATATAAGCGGAAGCCTGAAGAAAAAATTAGAAGTTCTCACACTGAAAAATATTAGATAGCTCATAAGCATACAGCAAGAAAAACTATTATTTGCTGTTCAAATTGGTATTCAAATTCTAGCCCCAATATTATACCATAGTAAGGGGAGATAATTTCTGAAGTGATAGGAACATCTCTCAAATCAACCACGTGTAGTTTTATCCTTTTAATACCGTAAGATGGTCAGAGTTACCCTGTGATAAGATGGACAGCCAATAAATAAATAAATATGTGAAATTGAAAATTCTGGTTTCTTTGGCCATAAAACACAATAGTTTTAACTAACAAATTGGTTACATGGCTGGTTTGAATCTTTCACTACCACAGCAAGGAATACATTTCGAAAAACAAACATGGCTAGAATAAAAATTATGTTAATCTAAGTTAATTATGCACAATACATTTGTTCATTAAAATATGAGGAGTGATTTTCCCTTACATGAAAATCACAGTTCAATACAATAATGAATTCTGGGTTCCTTGAAGGGCTAGGGTGTGTCTATGAATGTAAATACCTTATACTGTATAAAAGAATGCCACACAGCATTTCAATTATGTTTCAAATGTAACTTTAGCATCTAATACTGGTAGTTTAAATTTATTTAAATTTAAGTTTATCACCTGGATTAGACTACACACACACACACACACACACACACACACACACATTCACTGAATTACCCAAATTCCCATACTGTTTTCAAACCATGTGCAAACTATCACAGCCAGTGGAGCATAATGATTATTAGTGGTGTTGGACTAGACTGGAGAGCTGAATTAAACCATAACCATGGAAGCTCACTGGATAACTCTGGGTCATTCTTTGTCAGCCCAATCAACTTCACAGTTTTATGGTTGTGAGGAAAATTACAGGAGAATGCTAGGTACACTACTTAAAACTCCTGGATGAAAAGCTAGATATAAATCTAACATAAAATAAATACAATTATTTTTTAAACTTCAATTCCAGAAATCTAAGCAATTCCCAATAGTGCAGTAGCAAGCAAGCTAATGAAAAGCTCAGGAAATGTACTTTAAGCTTATCAATAATCTTCCTCTAAAATGTAATTATAATTGGAGTCTCAATCTCAATAATATTTAATATTTCACTATTTGAGCTTAAAACAGATCTTAATGTGCACCTGCTGTCTTTGTCTGTTCTTTCATTGATGAGAGGGATCCATCGGCTTGTTACCTAAAGCAATAAATCAATATTCACTTTTAAAAGTTAAGCTACACTGTTCATTCCAGTATATATTTCTATTTTCCTAATAGTTTTCTGAATGCTTAAATTCATTTGAAGAAGAGTGAAAGTGCAACGGGTTTGAACAAATAGGCACTACAAGGTAATCCTTATGCAGTTACAAAAATTAAGTTTGCTTTCCTTCACTAATAATTGTGAAGTGATAAATTCTAGTGTTAAATGAAGTGGGTAAAAATAAAACAAAAATCCCATTTGGCATAACTATATGCCCAGAAAATACATAATCTGCTATGTAGGAACTGCACATTGTCCTCACTGATATCCACTAATAGTACAATCATTTTCCCCAGATTCTAACACAATTACCTCATGCAACATCCACTGAATGAAAACTACTTTTTCATTCCATGCCTAAATATTAATGTATCCACACTAATAATATAGATAAGTTATTCTAAAAGAAATATCAGAAGATTGCATCAAAGAAACTAAAAACACTCTGGAATTCTTAGTGCTCTCTTAAGATTCACTGTTTGCTGCAGATGTTTCATTATCCAACTAGATAACATCATCATGCTAATGAGTGTGGGATTTGCTCCCTGTTTATATACATTAGCTTGCTCTGCCAGTATTGGTGGAAATGTAGTTTTCTCCTTAGTAGTTCCTTCAATGTTTTTCTTGTTTCTCAGGTTTGCTTGGTATTTAGCCAAATTCAAAAATGCTAGGGAATTCAGACAATCAGCCATTAATAGACACATAGAAATAAACCATATTTGCACACCATTTAAAAGAGACAACAAAAAGCTAAGGAGACCAAAAAAAACCAGGACATATTACTCTCCAACAGCCAATATCCAGATAAGCAGGGATTAATCAAGACATTCAGACAATCAAGCAGAAAACAATGTCTAATTAAGGAACTATGTCACCATCAACACTGGCAGGGCAAATTACTGTGTTTATAAAGGGACCAAACCTCACACTGGTCTTGATGTTAGCATTGATGATGTTACCTAATAGGGTAATGAAACATCTGGAAACAATTAACCAAATTCAGAGAGCATCAAGGACTCCACAATTCAATCATAAGCTACATACGATATAGTCTGTTCTACTCAAACTGAAAAAATTGTATTCCATGGCATTTAAACTTTATTTAAATTCTTTTAAAGATGTGATCCCTAGTTTTTTCATTTGGATCATTCAATATGTTAAATTTAAAAAACAGCAAAGTATGCCTTTTCATTAGACGATTGCAAGTGAAAGGGCCACACTTCGTCTATTAAGAAAACAAAGCAATTCTGCCACACCTTTTAGGACTAAATAAGAAAAGATCCATTTGGATTGATAGAAAATTAAGACAAATTCATCGTATCTTTCAAAATGGCAAAGCAAACATATTCAAGGTCAAGAAATATGTTATAATAACTGGACAAAATAAAAAGTGCTTTCCTCATACCTTATCAATTGAATTCTTGTTGTTAACTGCGTATACTATGCAAATTACATTTGCCTAGGACAAAGAAGAAGCAAATGGTTTATAACTGTAAGGTTTTCCTAGCAAATATCTTAAAAGACATTATGAAAAGCCATTTGATAGTTTCTTCTGATATTCAATAAATATGAGATATTATAATTGTGAACCAGCAATTTGCTGGTAGGTTTTGTACTGTGGGCATAAAGAATACAAATACAAATACATACATCTATTTTTAAAAATTGAAACTTGAATGTAATTTGGTGAATCTAGTTTGGTGTTTGTTTGGTGAAGATTAGAAAAATCATAAATGGATTTGCGAGGATGTGGAATCATAGGCTTCAAAGAGAACTATATTCACAAACAAATTCATTGACTTTCCCATCAAAATTTATCAGTAAAAGTTTCAGCATCTGAAAAAAGCAGCCTATTATTTCAACATAAACTCTTCTGCTTGTGCAAAAGGCATTTCTTCTCCATCTTTTCCCTATCTTATTCTTTCGTTGTTCCATGAGATGAGTGTTCGGAGGTTAGATTGAAAAATTTCAGTCCATAAGAAGAAGACTGCTCATTATTCATCAAATCAAGACAAAGATCCATTCGTTTATTTTTAAATCATCTTGTACGCCCATTCTAGTCCAAGAAAGGCTCACTCATGCCTTAGTCACTTCCCAATTGGATTACTGCAATATTTTCTACAGTGATATCCTTGAAAAATGTCCAGAAGCTTCAACTGATCCATATGCAGTAGCATATCCAATTCTGAGTGTATTGGATGCAGTTTGTATTATTCCTGTATTTCCCTGCTATTGTGGGTGCTACACTGGGCCCTGGTACAATTCTGGATATAATTCACTGTACCATACTTTTCGGAGTATAAGACACACTTTTTTCCCTCCTAAAAGACGGTGGAAATGTTGATGCGTCTTATACACTGAATACAGCCATTTTCGGCCTCCCGAAGCCCCGCCCCGCACGTCCTGTTTTTGCGAAAAACTGTCCCGTTTTTCACAAAAACAGGGCGTGCAGAGGCTTTGGGAGGCCTGCAGAGTGCTCCTGTGGGCTGGGGAGGGCAAAAATGCAGTTTTTGCAAAAAACAGGTGAATAATGGGTCCATTTTTCATAAAAATGGGGCACGTAGAAGGTTTGGGAGGCCTGCAGAGTGCTCCTGGGGGTTAGGGAGGGCAAAAACTTTTTTTTTCTTCCTTACCTCTTTGAAATCTTGGTGCGTCTTATATACTGATGTGTCTTATAGTCCAAAAAATAAGGTAGTTATTTCCTTCAAAGCCTTGCATGGCACAGAATTAAAGGGCTTGTGGAACTGCACCTCCCCAAAAGTTTCAGTTTTCCAACCCAATCTGATAAAGTGGCCATGCTCCACGTCCCACTATTAAACATCATCTGATGGGACATAGGAGACGCGCCCATTCTGTTGTAGTGCCTGTCATGCATAATAATTTCCTCAAGATCAGAAATATCCCAACATTCCAGGTGTTCTGGAAGGACCTGGGTCTTCCCTCAGTTGCTGGGAGGTTAGTTGCGCCCATCGTAGATATACAGCTGCATTGTGAGTTTGTTCAGGCTATGGTATTATGGTTATTTTAAACTTAGTTTGTATTTGTGTTTTGAAGTTTTATTGTATATTTTTGGTGAATTGTTGTTAGAAACCTAGGGTTAGGTATTTATTTATTTATTTATTTGTTTGTTTGTTTAAATTTCTATACCGCCCTTCTCCAATGTAGGACTCAGGGCGGTGAACAGCCGAAGTAAAAACAAGACATACATACAAAACATACAAAATCTAAAAACTGTTTAAAATAATTAAATAATTTTGGCCGTAATTAAAACATTCCAATTTAAAATCCATTTAAAATTTGACTCAAGCCAGCCCAGCTAGTTGAAATAAATGGGTTTTCAGGGCCCGACGAAAAATCCGGAGGTCTGTTATTGTACGTAGCTCTGGGGGGAGGTTGTTCCAGAGGGCGGGCGCCGCCACAGAGAAGGCTCTCCCCCTGGGGGTCGCCAGCCGACATTGTCTGGCGGACGGCACCCTGAGGAGGCCCACTCTGTGGGAGCGTACTGGCCGGTGGGAGGCTATTGGTGGCAGAAGGCGGTCTCGTAAGTACCCCGGCCCTAAGCCATGGAGCGCTTTAAAGGTGGTCACCAACACCTTGAAGCGCACCCGGAAGACCACCGGGAGCCAGTGCAGCTCGCGCAGGAGAGGTGTCACGTGGGAGCGTCTCGTCGCCCCCAAAATCCCCCGCGCGGCCGCGTTCTGGACCAGCTGGAGCCTCCGGGTGCACCCCAGGGGGAGCCCCATGTAGAGAGAATTAAAATTGATGGCCGTGTAAAAATTTCTAAACAAATTTATAGAAAATGTTTTTGCTTAAGTTTTTCCCCCTCACCATTTTGGCATGCAGGACTTTGAAAACCTGGGCCTGTTCTTGACAACCACACAGCTGTAAGGATATACTTTACTAAACATCCATTTCAGTTAAGACATTTCAACTGACAGTCTAATGGGAAGAATGGAGAGTGAGGATGTTTTATAGCCCGAGGAGAAATTTATAATGGTACAGGCTTTCCTCATTCCTACATCAGGACTCAGATAAATCATGTCTTTTAAATGATGATTTGCCAGGTGTTGAAAACCTGGCTCCTTTAAAGCAACCAAAGCACTTTGAAGCTGCAACATAAATGTATTAAGCCTGCAAACAAACAAAAAAACCTGTGTACACTGGGCTTCTAGCACAGCACTTGCAGCTTACAAAGTAGCCTTGGGCAAAAACAGAATCAGAGCTTATATATCTTTGACCTACTATATTTCAAAGACAAGACAAAGAAAAAGGCAGACCCAGTGTAAATTACAGCATGATACTGGAATGCTTTTGAAAATCCCATCTGGAAGGCCTTCTCTTTATTTATCCTGTATTACTAGGTAGCATGTCAGCTATACTAAAGTTGAGATGAGATAAATATAAACCATTTGGTTTACTGGGCCTCTGGTTCCTGTCTGATTTTTTCCTGTCAGCACTCAGGGTCAATCCTGCTTGTTGGGAATATTTCACTATAAGGGTACTTTAATTAGTTCACATATAAGGGTGGATGAGGTGGGCAATGGGTAGGTTTGGTAGTGAACCCAGCTCACATGTGTAAGGAGAGGTAGTACTTTTTATCACACAATCATTTCATAATAATCAGAATGATTCTGGCTTTTCTTGTGGAAAGAAATTCACCCAAGAACCAAGTTACACAAAACAGGTAAATCACAACTATTTCAGGACAGAAGACACATTCCACTCACCTGAGATATTTCACGATGAAGCTGTTCATCGCTTTGCTCATATTCTGCATTGAATAGAATGTCACAAATATTATTGAACAAATGATCAAAGAAAGGCCAGTAAGTACACTTAAATAGTAAGAGACAAAATGTTTGCCACTCTTAATCAGACTTTTGGTTGAAAAGGCATTACCTTAAGCACAAATTCTTTTTTATTTTGCACTTTGTAGCATTTGCAAAGAAGTAAAACAAGAATACAACAGAATGTATTTGTTCACTACAGCATTAAAATGTGCCTTTTCTCTCTTCAAACATATATTTTAATGTTTTTAGCAATTTCTGCACCTTCATTTGCTAAAAATACCTAATTCTACAGGTTACAGTATACTGTATCAACTGTAAGTAGATGCTCCCCAGGACTGCAAAGCAAAGTGTTTGGTCACTCACTTGGCAATTGCTTTTGAAAATAACTCTGAACATACATAAAACCACAGACATGTTGCTATAGATTAAAATCACATTAAATCTGCAATAAAATATTGCAGTTTGGAATGCTATATTCATCGTTAACAACTGATTTTCAAGATGCTCCATTACACATTGCTCTAAGCATTTGCACACAAGTTGGGATATAAAATAAATAAATTTCCACATACTATTCTAACTTTCTGTCACCAAGCACATTCCCAAGCCATATGATCTGCTATTCTACTTGTACTTTCTATCAACCTATTTAAAAGCCAGCTAGGAAGTTCTTGTCTTTGGCTGATCTCATTTTGACTATACAAACACTAGCTTTCTAGAGCCAGAGAATTTCAAGATGAAGGTTCAATGTATTGGAAAAATAATGTCATAAATTATTATTTTGATTGTGCAACATAAGACAGTCCTTGATCAATTCTGATTCTTGGGTTTTATTATTTATTTGTCCCTGTTTTAATTGGTTTTTAATTAGGATTTTCCTTTATTATTGTATGTTTTTTAACCTGTGTTCGCCGCCCTGAGTCCTTTGGGAGAAGGGCGGCATATAAATATTTGTAAATAAATAAATAAATAAATAAATAATTTTCCAGTCTCCCAAGTAAAATTAGATAAAATGGGAAATAATAAAAAAGAGAATGGGGAATACAGTAAAAGCTTGAGGAGGAGGTAATATTTTTTAAATGTGAATGTCCTTTATATTTCAATGTGTATCACTTGCACAACGTAACATAACATAAGTGACATAACAAGCAAAATTATGTAATAAAGTAAATTATATCTGCACTGAATTCAGATCTAGGAGACTTATCCACTAAATGAGGTTAGACTGTCTGCTAAATTGGGGTGAAGTCTGGATTAAAATGTTGCGTGCTAAATGTAAAATCTGTTAAATCAAGTGCCGTAAAACCAAGGTTTTATAACAAAATGTCGCAATAAAGAATTATCAGAGTGAGGATAACAAATGAACTTCTACCAAGTTATTTTCTTGCCTCTAATCTTAAAAATAATTTGACAAATGGGGACGTTCTGCGTTTACTACATCTTATAAATGAATTTAATAGAAAAAAAAATACAAGGTCACTTCTAAGAAAGTGATGTTTGGTAAAGTAGTGCTTCCCCCATTGACTTTTCCAGCTTCTCCCATTGACTTTGCTTGTCGGAAGCCGGCTGGGATGGTTACAAATGGTGATCACATGACCCCAGGACACTTCAACTGTCAAAAATACATGCTAGTTGCCAAGTGCCTGAATTTTCATCACATGTCAATGGGGATGCTGCAACAGCCATAAGTATGAAAACCAGTCATAAGTCACTTCTTTCAATGGCATTGTAACTTCAAATGGCCACTAAACAAATGGTTGTTAAGTCAAGGACAACCTTTATACTTTCCAATTTTCAATTCAGTATCTCAGTTTTCAAGAAAAATTCTGAAGTGCACTGATATGCTGTATGGCAATGCACATATGTAAGATTAAAGAAACAAGCTGGGATTTCTCTTCATGCCAAGTAGTATCCTAAATGGATATATTGATATTAATTTGGATGTTTCTCCAGACTAAAAAGTAGAGAATATTTATCAATATTGAACAAAATGTATGAAGCACCATTTTCATCATATGGATGCAGATTATTATAATAGGCAATTCTAGGTTTGCTTTACATTGGGTGGACTCTAAATTCCCTATATTAGAATCCTAAATACCTAGTGCTTTATAGTTACAAACAGATGACAGGTTGACACCTGGCCATTTTATAATTATTTCATAATTCAGCTGCCATGCATCTTCTCCATGATCTTCCTATCTAAATATATATATATATATCCCCATTTCATCTGCTTTATGACACCTAGAATGCTGCCAGAAAATACTGGCTCTGTTGGGAAAGTGTCAGAGGAAATGGGTCCATTTAACAGAAGTAGACCTTATAACCCTGGCCTGTCAAAAACAGATCATGCCAAATTAATCTTATTGCATTCTTTGACAAAGTGACAAAATTAGTGGACTAGAGGAATGCTGTCGATATAATTTACTTGGACTTTAATAAGACATTTGACAAAGTAGTCCATAACCTTCTACCATATGGGGGAGAGCCTTCTCTGTGGGGGCACCTACCATCTGGAATGAGCTCCCCCCGGAGATACGGAGGATCCCGGATCTGCGCTCCTTCTGCCGTGCTGTGAAGACCTTTTTATTCCATCAAGCGGGCTTGGCCTGATCTCTTCCCTTTTTAAATATGTAAATTTTAATCTGTTTTTAAATTATTGGGGTATTTTAATTTGTCTGGGCCAAAAAGTTTAATTTGATTTTATCGGGTTTTTAAATTTTGTGTATTTATGTATTTTATTGTTGGCTGTTCACCGCCCTGAGTCCTTCGGGAGTAGGGCGGTATACAAATCAAATAAATAAATAAATAAATAAATAAATATAAAGTAGAAAAATGTGGGTTAAACAGTATCACCACCAGATGGATTTGTAACTGGCTGACCAACCGCACTCAACGTGTAGTCCTCAATGGAACTGCATCTACATGGAGGGAAGTATGCAGTGGAGTACCCCAAGGCTCTGTTTTAGGCCCAGTACTCTTCAACATCTTCATCAATGATTTGGATGAGGAGATAGATGGGGAACTCATCAAATTTGCAGATGACACCAAGCTGGCAGGAATAGCCAAAACTCCAGAAGAGAGGCTTAAGATACAGAAGGATCTTGACCAGGGGTGAAATGCTTCGGACTGGATCGCCCAATCCAGTAGCGATGGCGGTGGGTGGTTCGGAGAACCAGAAGCAAAAATCCCTGTCCCCCACCCCCCCACATCCCATGCCCAGCTGAGCCGCACGATCATCAGAGGCTTTTTTTTTTTTTTACATTTCAAAGCATTTTTTCTACAATTTCTTCCGCCGAAAAAATGCTTTTTAAATTAAAAAAAAAAACTTCTGATGATCGTGCGGCTCAGCTGGGATCGTCAGAGGCTTTTCAAAGCATTTTTTTAACCACCTCTTCCCCTGAAGAGGTTGCAGAAAAAAATGCTTTAAAAGTCTCTCTGACAATCCCAGCTGAGTTGCCTAATCGTCAGAAAGACTTTTCAAAGCATTTTTTAAAACAATCAGGCAACTCAGCTGGGATCATCAAAGAGACTTTTAAAGCATTTTTTTCTGCAACCTCTTCAGGGGAAGAGGTGGTTAAAAAAATGCTTTGAAAAGGCTCTGAAGATCCCAGCTGTGTTCCTGATCGGCAGAGACTTTTCAAAGCATTTTTTTGCATTTGCAGAAAAAATGCTTTGAAAAGTTAAAAAAAAAAAAGTTAGCTACGCCCACCCAGTCACATTACCCCACCACCACCAAGCCACGCTCACAGAACCGGTAGTAACAAATTTTACATTTCACCCCTGATCTTGACAGACTTGAACATTGGGCGCTATCTAACAAAATGAAATTCAAGGGTGAAAAAAGTAAGGTTCTACATTTAGGCAAGAAAAACAAAATGCACAGGTACAGTTATGTGGTACCTTGCTCAATAGTAGTAACTGTGAGAGGGATCTTGGAGTCCTAGAGGACAACTATTTAAATATGTGCCAGCAGTGGGCAGCAGCTGCCAAAAAAGCCAACACAGTTCTAGGCTGCATAAACAGAGGGATAGAATCAAGTTCACATGAATGTTAATACCACTATATAATGCCTTGGAATACTGCATCCAGTTTTGATCACCACAATGTAAAAAAGATGATGAGGCTCTAGAAAGAGTGCAGAGAAGAGCAACCAAGATGATTAGGGGACTGGAGGCTAAAACATATGAAAAACGGTTGCAGGAACTGGGTATGTTTAGTTTAATGAAAAGGACTAGGGGAGACATGATAGCAGTGTTCCAATATCTCAGGGGCTGCCACAAAGAAGAGGGAGTCAAGCTAGTCTCCAAAGCACCTGAGGGAAGGACAGGACAGGAAGCAATGGGTGGAAACTAATCAAGGAGAGAAGCAACCTTGAACTAAGGAGAAATTTCCTGTCAGTTAGAACAATTAATCAGTGGAACAACTTGCCTCCAGAAGTTGTGAATGCTCCAACACTGGAAGTTTTTAAGAAGATGTTGGATAACCATTTGTCTGAAGTGGTGTAGGGTTTCCTGCCTAAGCAGGGAATTGTTCTTCGATGCCTCCATTCCCAGAGCAGCCAAACCATAATGTATGTCTCTTTTTTAATTTATAAAAACAGAGGCATTACCTGAATAATCCACTATATGGGTTGGCACTCTTTCTGGGGTAACATCAGCTGGGATAGTGATTTCTTCAGCTCGTGGAGGAACCTTGGTGTATGAAAAGCAGAAATCTTAGTTAAATGCTCAATTATTACATAAATTGCAATGTTTGTAACATGTAATAGCAAAAACTGACCAATTATCTATGATGCACCCCCCCTTTAAGCAAGAAACTACAAACCCAGTTTAGTAATATAAGCTTTTACCATTTGCCACCTTATTTGATTTCGCCAGTCTCCATTACGGAAATTCAACATTGCGCATTTCTTACCATAAAAAAATCTAGTTTGTTCCAAAGTCATTTCATAACTGCTACATAAATTGCTATTTCTAACAATTCCAAGTACTTCTGCTACACAACTTTCTAATCAATGAATCCCATGACTAATGTGGTTTGATATGAAATGATAGCAAACAGCTAGAACACTATATTCCTTATTATTGATTTTTTTTCACAGAACATAATGGATAACAATGGAACTCTTACAGCTCTCCATTCCATTCTCAGATGTTCAATGATTTTTATCAAGTCATTCATCACAGTAGTCAGTCTCATATACTAGCATATTTTAGCCTAATGGAAATTATGGCAATAAAATATTGCATACTAATGATCAGAAATATATTGTTATACTGTGGGAAACTTTGTTATTCATAATATCAACTACAAATAGAAATGGCAGCAATATATTCTAGTGGTTAAACTGTTAAATAACTTGTACATATTACACTTGCAAATTTCTTTACATAATTTCATAAATTTTTGAAAGCTTATAAAGAAATCACTCTTTTGTGTATCTAGAAAAAAGAGCATAAAATACATACTTTTAGAAATACTTATATTAGACTCTAAGCTTATACTTTTGGAGTTTTTGTATTTCTATTAAGGACTTTAAAAGTATAGTGAAACATGAACAGATTAACCAGGGGACACATATTGACAAGTATGCAATTATTGTGATTTTATATAATTTACAATTATATACTATACAATTTATATAAAGATATCCTTTACAGATGATGGCAATGATGTACTGTAATTTGCATCAAACATCATTAGCAAATGTAACTCACAGCAGAATGCTGTCCACTGTATGTGTAATCTGTTACGTCAAAGTCCAGTAAATTGAAATTTAATTTCACAAGGATTTTTTTAAAATCAAGTGTCATGAAAACTTACCTCTTCAGGAAATTCTTCACTGACAAGAGACATGATAAGTGATGTCTTCCCAACTCTGGCTGTGAAATTGAGAAGATGAACATTCCTGAAGGATTTCCATAGGTAATTCGTGGCCGGGGTGGGGGTGGGGGCGTGAGGGATGGTGTCAGAGTTAGTACCAGCAATAGTACTGCTAACCAGTAATACAGCAATAAAACTGTAGGCAAACCCTTCTAAAAAAAGAGAGCTATTGAAATGACAAATATAAAAGTAAGGCAAGTACAATCAATAGGTGAGTTCTACAAACTTTCTCACTTTTTAAAAAGAAAATCTTAATATAGGTCAGCTAATAGGACAAAAATATATTTGCATGAATATACAGCAGCGGTCCCCAACCTTTTTGGTACCAGGGACTGGTTCTGTGGAAAACAATTTTTCACTGACTGGAGGGGGAAGGAGAGATGGTTTTGCACACTACCTAGATCCCACACATACGTTGACGAAGCTTCACTCACTTGTGCATCTCAGTTCCTAACAGGACACAGACTGGTACTGGTCCATGGTCCAGAGGGTTGGGGACTCCTGATATACAACAACTCCTTTCCAAACAAGATTAAAACTACAACATCCTCATAATAAAGAATTCTGGGGTTCAATTTAATAAACAAGACTTCGTCAAATTACTGCACTGATCCACGCTTTTGAAGACTACTGGATTGCTACATACCAGGATAGCAATTGATTGTGACTTTCTTTCTACAATACGGTTAACTAGGTCAGTTGTGGATTGGTTAGAATATCTGGGAAATTGATCATAACCAGATCAACTCAACTAAATTCCAGGTGGTCAAACATAGCCGGAAATGATACCTAGTGTTGCACTGAGTCAAATTAATTACATCTAATCAGTTGTGATATAAATACACACAAATGAATAATATTAGCTTGCTGTAGTAGCCCAACAATGCTTGCTGCTGGCAGCTCCATCAGGAAAAAGCTAGGCATCAGTTCAAGGCTCATGGAATTGATGGAAAAGGGGTCCGGGTCACATGTAATTCCAAAATGGAAACTTTTGGCCCACTTTTTGTGATTATGCTCTATTTTCATTTCTAATGAAATCTGATTAGTTTAGTAGCTGGATATGTTATGTGTGCTGCGGAAACAGGGCTTAGAGTTATACCAATATTATTTTTGAATGAAAAGTAAATTGTACTTACTATATAACTCAGACTGAGAATAAATTAAGAAGTGTCGGAAGAAACACCACAAATAATGGCCCAGAATTCTCACTACAAGTAGTCATTGATTTACAACCATTCATTTAATGACTGTTTGAAGTTACAACGGCATTGAAAAAAGTGACTTATCATTTTTCACACTTATGACCATTGCAGCATCCCCATAGTCACATGATCAAAATTCAGATGCTTGGCAACTGACTCATTTTTATGGTGACTGCAGTGTCCCAGGGTCATGTGATCACCTTTTGCGAACTTCCAACAAGCAGAACCAGTGGGGAAACTAGATTCACTTAACAATTACTAACTTAACAACTACAATGATTCACTTAACAATTGTGTCAAGGAAAGTTGTAAAATGGGGCAAAACTCACTTAACAAATGTTTCGCTTAGCAACAAAAATTTTGAGCTCAATTGTAGTTGTAAGTCAAGGACTATCTGTATTTAACTATGAAACAACTGGTGGATATCATGTGACATTGTCATTTAAACCAAAAACTGTCATTTCAATGGAACAGAATGACATACATATTCTATGTCAATTAAGTAAGAAAGAATAGGAGAAAGCTAATTTACTTCTTTCTGAGCCAAGAAAACTTTTGATACTGCAGCTTTCGAAGATTTTTTTAAAAAGCCTTTTAAAGTCTTTGTCTGACAGGAAGAACTGAATGAGCATAATGACTTCATGCAAAATGACTGTTGGCCAAATAGGATATTCAAATGACTGTGAGTTTCCTAAAGTTAGGTCTTGTTGAATCTTGCTATCAGAAATAAAAGTGCTATTAATACTCTTAAAACTGGTAGAGCACTGAATCTTCTTGCAGATGGGCATATAGTTCCCTAGGAGATATGGACATCTTTTTTCATGTTTGATTTGTATATAACTGGCATAAAAAATTAATAATGATACTATCTTGACTGAGCTTGGCAATGCAAGCTTACTTTTTATTATCCAAAATCACAACAGAAAAGGAGCATGTCTTTTTGCCTGTGAAGACTGGATTAGAATAATTTTCCTTTCTTTTTAAAAATTTCCTTTACTTTCTGTTCATATATCAGCCTGGATAAAATCAACCAATAAAAACCCAGTAAGTAGACATTTCTATTGTAATGTTCAGGTTATTAATGACTTTTTGTGGCATAAGACAAAAACATTATGGAAACTGCTTTGTGGAAAAGCGGAATTTTAGTTCCTATTTACTGCATATAAAGACATATCTTTATGTGGTGTATATGTAAGCCCATACGTGAAAACAATCCCAAATTTGAGGCAACTGCAGAAGGAGTAGTCAAACTTCCATTAACATTTGTTCCGCTATCACCAGACACATCATCCTTTTGCTTTAAATTTACCCAGTAATTTGTAATCAACAAACATAAATGGGCACAACCTTGCTATGTTTTAAAAATTATGGATTTGTAATGTTCTGTTGAGAATTTTCACCAAATGAAAATTGTACAATTGCTTTAGAAATGTAAATTTAGAGACACATTAATGTATACATCTGTAGACATGGGTGCAACTACCACCACATATCAATCCAAAGGACTTTAATATCATCAAACAGTATTTTTCTATGGTAGTAAGGCACTTGTTCAGAAAGGGTATGATTTAGCTTTCCACACTTCACAGCTTTAATAAAAATTATTAAAAATTGTCCAAAGGCTCTGTTATGCAAAGGTTTACAGTGAGATGTTTTAGCTTTCCAAAATGTTAAACTGGCTGTAATGTTGCTGAAATTGAAGCACGATATTTGCAGAAAGTAGCTCATGTCCTAATTCTGTTTTCAAAAAACGTGAGTTGCCCACACAAGTAAACTTCAAATGCGTCATAGCACACAACTAAAAATATAGTTTAACAATTGGTATATTTCTAATATCTTTTCATGCCTGAATCTTAAAACATTGATAATTACAGGTAGTCCTCAGTCTACGACCACAATTGAGTCCCTCATTTCTGTTGTTAAGTGAGGTATTTGTTAAGTGAGTTTTATCCCATTTTACGACCTTTCCTGCCACACTTATTTTTTTTCTTGCCACATTTGTTAAGTGACTCACTGCAGTTGATAAATTAGAAACATGGTTGTTAAGTAAATCTGGCTTCCCCATTGATTTTGCTTGTCAAAAGGTTGCAAAAGTTGGTCACATGACCTTGGGACACAGCAACAGTCATAAATATGAGTCAGTTGCCAAGCGCGTGAGTTTTGATCACGTGACCATGGGGATGCTGCAATAGTCGTAAGTGTGAAAAATGGTCATAAGTCACTTTTTTCAGTGTTGTAACTTTGAACGGTCACTAAATGAACTGTTGTAAGTCAAGGACTACCTGTATATTAGCAGACTACCCTCTGTATCTCTCAATGTGTGATCCTTCACTGCTATGTTTCAATTTTATACTGAACTTATGGAATATGGCAAGGAATGCACTCAGGAACATTTAAATTAGTGGTGTGCAAAGTATTTCAAATAAAAAAGATCCTCTACATTCCAATACAGTTCTGATCATTCTGGAAACATTCCAAAACAATTTCAGCTCAAAATATTTCCAGAATTGTCAGTCTCCTAAATAAAAAACTGATGTTGATATGAAAGGACTTGGGAAGAGAGGAATTATGCACTACATATTATGGGAATCATAAAAAAAAATTACATCAAGATTTATACCTGTCAATTGCAGTGAAACAAACCAGTTTTTCTAGAATCAAACTATGCTATGGAAAGTTATGAAACTAATTTGGCTCTAACAGGACATAGTTCTATAACAATGTCAGAATGCAAGTTTTAAAAAAATATTTTTTTCAGACTATATGGTAAAAATTAAATAATACAATCTAAAGATAAGTATGTATGACCCTACTCCTGTCAAATAATGCCTTAGATTTTTTTTCCCCCTGGCAAGCATCATTTCCCTAAATAAGAATTCTATTTTCTAAATTTAGGCTCCCAATTTCAACAGTCACTAGATAAATCACAGCACAGCTAAAGGACAGCTTGAAGATTTTGGTCTCAGACCAATCTTCTGAGCAGCAACAGTCTTGTCACATGTATGAACCACATGTACTAACATGAAGCATTTCTGACAGTACTGTTCCCAGCAGCTAAAACTCCCTCTGAGAGAGCCAATTTGGTGTTGTGGTTAAGTCACTGGGACAGAACCCAGGAGAACATGAATTCTAGTCCCGATTTAGATACAAAATCAGCTGGGTGGTCTTGGGCCAGTCATTCTATTTCAGCCCTAGGAAGAAAGCAATAGCAAACTATTTCTGCAATCCTGCCAAGAAAACTGCAGGAATCTGTCCAGACAATCACCAGGAGTCAACACTGACTCCAAGGCAAGCACATACAAACACAAACACACCCACAGAGTCCTTGAGAATTCCACTTGCAGCCTACATTCAGATGGTTTTAAATTTAGGTTCTTCATGCTTAGTCAGATAGCAATGTCTGATCTATTGTCTAATCAACAGAATTGTAGAAGATATGTATTTGGATTTGATTTGAGGACAACACACTTTGTCTCAAATTGTACTTTATTGTCAGCAGGCTGCCCATGACCAGCTTTTCTGATTTTAAAAGTTGTTTGCAATCTGCATAAAATGAATAGTCAAGTAGTTCAAAATGCCACCCTATCTATGGCTTTTACGATGAAAATCCCAATCCTTGCTTTTAGGAAACATTTTTCAAGGTCCCACAACCAACCAACAAGACAGGAGACAGGATAATAATCTCTTATTTATTTATTTATTTATTATTCGAATTTCTATACCGCCCTTCTCCTTTCGGACTCAGGGCGGTGAACAGCCAAAATAAAAACATTTATACATAAATACGATTAAAAATAGATTTAAAATAATTAAATTTGGCCCATAGTTTAAAATTTATCAATTTAAAATCCATATCAAAATTTAAAACCAACCATAAAATCATAAAATCAAGAGAGACCGGCTAACTGAAAGAGATGAGTTTTTAGGGCCCGACGAAAGGTCCGGAGGTCGGAGATCACTCGTATCTCTGGGGGTAGATTGTTCCAAAGGGTAGGTGCCACCACAGAGAAGGCTCTCCTCCTGGGGGTCGCCAGCCGGCATTGTCTAGCCGACGGCACCCTGAGGAGGCCCTCTCTGTGGGAGCAAACTGGCCGGTGGGAGGCTATTGGTGGCAGAAGGCGGTCCTGTAGGTACCCTGGCCCTAAACCATGGAGCGCTTTAAAGGTGATCACCAACACCTTGAAGCGCACCCGGAAGTCCACCGGAAGCCAATGCAGCTCGCGCAGGAGAGGAGTCACATGGGAGCGCCCAGTCGCTCCCCTAATCCCCCGCGCGGCCGCATTCTGCACCAGTTGGAGCCTCCGGGTGTACCCCAAGGGGAGCCCCATGTAGAGAGCGTTACAATAGTCCAGACGAGAAGTGACGAGTGCTTGAGTGACTGTGCGTAGGGAGTCCCGATCCAGAAAGGGGTGCAACTGGCGTATCAGGCGAACCTGATAAAAAGCCCCCCTGGCCACGGCCGTCATATGCCCTTCTAAGGACAGCCGTGCATCCAGGAGGACGCCCAAGTTGCGGGCCCTTTCCGTGGGGGCCAATGATTCACCCCCAATAACCAGCGATGGCGTCAGCTGGCTATACCGGGACGCCGGCAGCCACAGCCACTCGGTCTTGGAAGGGTTGAGTCGAAGCCTGTTTCTCCCCATCCAGACCCACACGGCCTCCAGGCACTGGGACATCACTTCCAAGGCATCGTTGGGATGGTCTGGGATGGAGATGTACAGCTGAGTATCGTCAGCATACTGATGGAACTCCACCCCAAAACCACGGATGATCTCACCCAGCGGCTTCACATAAATGTTGAACAAATCATTCTTTATTTAAATCTTCCAAGAAGATAAAACACACTCTCCATGGCTGAATTCTTACAGATTATTTTTAACACCATTGACCTGGAAATTCAAACTAAACACAAATGAACTAATAGCTAAATATGTGTAAATTCTCAGTGCAAGACTATGTCACCCTGCATGACCTAATGCCCTCTGGAGGTTTTGGACTTTATCTCCCATCAGTCTCCCTATAGTGGCTAGTAGCAAAAAATATAATTGTACGAGATCAAAATCTCTGGATTGCACCAGGTTGCTATCCTGAGAAAAAAACATTGGTTTGGAGAACAGGAACTCCTTCTGATTTATAAATATTTCACAGTATCTGGCAGGTACATATGCAACAGTCTTCTAAGTAATTTAAAAGAAAAAATGATGGGGTCAAAAGAGAAAATAAGCACAAGAGAATTATTCTCAATTCCCACCCAAAATCTCATCAAGGCCACTAACAGAGCTTTAAGGAAAAGTCCAAACTCTCAATTCTTGAACTATTCTAAATATAGCAAATCAATCAAAACTATTTTAATTAATTAATCCCTCAATCAAATTTCAACAATAATTCATAATTGCTGGATTCACAAGACATCAGTCATTAACATTCAGAGCAATCTTGGTAACTTTACACAGTATTACGGTAGCAGCCAGTCATCTATTTTCTGACACTATTCACACATCATTCTTCGTTAACATACAACCCAAAAAAGCACATTTAATGACACACTCATCAGAAAATAAATCTTCCCCAACTTGTTACGCAAATTAGGTTGCTGCTCATTCTGTAATGAATATGCATTCACAAAGACTTCAGCCTATAAGTAGCATGCCACAGATTTAAATTAAGGACCTAATAGTCTGTATTCCATATACAGTACAGAACACTTAATAGCCAAGCATAATGTGCATGCCAGAGGACAGATTATCAAAGAGATGGAGTAGTTAAGTAAGTAGCTAGATCTGAATTAACTGTAGCCATGTGAATGCCAGATATTTTGCACTATAACATCGATAAGCCCCAAACAGAATGACCAGTAGTCAGGGATTGAACAATTTATAAGTCAAAAGATCTGGAATCGAATATATTTCTGAGGTGCCCTATCAGTTTACTTACGTAGGAGCATACTTTCAGCAAATATATTTTCTCAGTTGAAAATAGAACTCTGTGTATAATCATTTTGCTGTAAAATACATTATTAGGACATCTGCTGAGGGAGCATACAGTAGTTTGGACATACTTGTCCAAAACCCTGTTTTGAAATCCATATTTAGAACCAAGATGAGTCAAAAAGCCTTAGGCCCAGATCTCCAGTAAGGTTATGTTTAAATAATCAATGAAAAACTAGCAAGAGCAAGAGCAGCTGGGGTTTTTTTTGGGGGGGGGGCAGAGGAAACTTTATGAGTCTTATTTTGAGGAAGGACAGCTGGTGCCCTTGTGACAGCAACTTGCCACTGTATAAAAAAAAAAAAAAACAGCTTTGATCCAAAATATAAAAGCAGAAGATGAGCTGGCCTTGACAAAAGAAGGAAAGGAAAGAAAAGCACCTTTTCCAGGTGAAAAGATTAAATTAACTTGCACGTATCTGTCCTCCAAGGAATGGGCAAGCCCAAAAATTAAAATAAACCAGTTTCCGAGTGCCCACCAAAATAGAGTTTGGCTGAGATTACCTAGCGTATGCCCTCCTCGGCAGGTGTCCTAATAAGTGTATTTTAGAGCAAACTTATACCCAAAGAGTTCCGTTTCCCACTGAGATAAAAATACATTTACAGAATATACCTTTATCCCTTCAGTTTTGCTCTGAAATTTCAAATCTCTGCATCTCCTAAAACTAGTCCCCCCCTCTTCTTCAGCCTGTTTTCTCTCCCCCCCCACCCCCCACCCCAAGGTCCTATAAAATCCCATTACTGCATCCCTTAATCCTCTGTTTTCTTCTTGCTTTCTAATACCCGGCTGTCCTTTCCCTCTCCTGCTTTCGCCTAAATCCCCGCACCTGGTTCTCCGCCCCAACACTTTTCTCCTCCTCCCCAGCCACCTTTCGGCCAAGTCCACCCGAAACCCCCGCACACACCTCCGTCCGTCCCAGTAAAAAAGACAAGACAAGACACACGCGTGATCTTACCTCCTTTCGCGAACATCGACTCTTCCTGTCCTCCGCCCCTCGAAGCTCAGAGCCAGCCAAAGACCCTCTTGCCCCCACCTGGCTCATTCAGCGGGGCGAGCCGGCTTCCCGTCTCTCCGGCCCAGTCCCCTTCCCCCATCCCCTCTCCAATGCTGACCTTCCCAGCCGCTCCTTTCCCTTCCCTCCCCTCACTCACGTTCTCCCACCAGCAGGATCCTCACGTCCTTCTTCATCGTGCTCTGCCTCCGCCTTCTGGGTCCGGCGATCCGGCGATCCGGCTCACATCAGGGCTTCGGCCAAGGCGCTGTGTGTGTGTGTGGGGAGGGGGAGGGAGGGAGAGGGAGGAGGGAAGAGCCACGGCCTACTACGCTCGACCCGCTCGTGCCGTCCCGCCTCCAACAGCCGGCGCTTGCTTGCTTGCTTGCTCCCTCGCGCAGCCGCTCCCCCCCCCACCGCAAGCGCCCGTTCGCAACCTTTCCCTCCGCCGACCATAGACAGGAGGCTAGAAAGGACTGGCGGCTTTGAACTTCCGGAGCTAAATTCGCAGCCCTTCAACGGCAGGGAAAGCGCTCTCTCTCTTTCTCTCTCCCTCCCTCCCTCTCTCTCTTCCAGGTTGCCCTATGAGCGCTCGGCAGGAGCCCCAGCGGCGTTTCCTGATCGTACGAATCGGAAAGGCAGTCCGATGGGGAGCAAACCGGAAGTGTAACCCATGCGCATGCTCGAGTTTAATTCTTTTTTTTTAAAAAAAAACATGCGTTCAGGAGCACAGAAGCGCCTTGGGTTTTTTTTTTCCCCCTTCTTCTTCTTCTGTAATTGTAATTTAATTTATTTTGGAAAATAATACGAAAGTAACATGCAAGTATTTAGGGCTACAATATATACCTGGTATATTCAACTGATTGGGAGAAATGGGTTGCTGGAGAGCTGGCGATAGATTTATACTTTGTATCGCTAGAGGTATTTGTTGCATGGTGTAAGAGATGTGTGTTGAACGTTCATTTTAATTTCATCTGGCTTTGAAATGTCTATGCTGCCCTACAGAATCCAATTTTCTAGTGTGATTAAGAAAATACTGCAATGTGCAGAAATGAATAAGATTGACACTTGCAATTAGAGGGAAAGAATCTGATTATTATAATATATGGGATTTATTTTATCAATCATTAGAGAATAAATATGAAAGTAATGGATAGTAAAGTTAAATAAATTAAGAAGAGAAATGTTTTGATAATAGATATGTTAAGTATTAAGTATTAATATTAAACTAAGAGTAGATATAAATAATGAATATGGTGGTAAGCTTTAACTGTTATGACACAAAAAAATTGTACCCAGATGACACACTGTTTAATGAATGATGGAATGTTTTGTATTAAAAGAAAATTAAATATATATATATATATATATATATATAAAAAGAATCAAATTTTCTAAGAGTTACAACTACTGCGATTATTGTACAACATAAACCCCAAGGAAGAGCATCTCTGGCTTTTGTTAACTTCACTAGTGTTAAAATCTTGTGTCCAAAAAGTTTTTATCTACCACAGATGTAATTTATTGGCTTGATATCTTTGTTGTGATTATGGCATGGGTACATAAAAGTCAACCAGGTAACTGTCAATCATTGACTGAAAGTCCTAACCTCTTTGATGGAGGAAAACTAGCAGAAAGCCACCAAAATAAGCAGACATAAATCCATTGGTGCATGAAACTCACTGGTGCAAAAAAAGAGAACAAGAACCTGGGTACTATTTATTTTAGCTTCCAAGATAGGGAGTTTTCCTGTAAAATCCATTACAGCTTTCAAGTAAGGTTCTCTAAATCACTTCGATTTCTCAAAGTATCTAAATAGCTTTGTTCTTTCAATTATGTATCTCAAAACAAGATGTTGAAAGATGGAAATATGTATTTGCCTAGTACATTATCCCAAAACTAATTTGGAAAAAATCTCAACTTATAACTGCAAAATTATGTGTTTAAGCAGATGATGCTCTTTCTTCTTTTGGTCTGCCTTTGATCATATCAATCATATTGCAATCCTGATGGCAGATCTGTAAGCCTTGAATGAGTTCTTGTTAAAAGTCAGGTCATTTAATGGAAGAATGTCCATTATAAATAACATCCCCTAAATTTACCAATCTGGACTTACCTATTTACTGTATTTTGAAATTTGGTTATATGGAGAGGATAAACTCACATTTTTAGGAACTCATGAGGAGATCTTGGAAATTATATGCCTGTAACCTTAACTTCTGTTAAGATGTGAAGTGCTATTAAAGATAAAATGTCAGAGGCGTTGTTGAAGGATATTCAACATAGTTTCAGTAAGTGTAGGTGTTTTGAGAATGTTAATAAAAATGTGGATGGCAATAGACATCATCTACTTAGATTTTCAAAAGGCCTTTGATAAAGTCCCTCATCAAAGATTTCTCAGTAAATTCAACAGTCATAGAATAAAATGACAGATCTTCTTGTGGAAAAACAATTTTTTTGACTAAAAAATAAACAGTAGGTGTAAATAGACATTTCTCACAATGGATGTAACTACTGTGATTCCCCGGGGGTTCTATTCTCACTTTAAGTATTTATAAATTATATGACATTAGGCATGACTAGTGGAATAGCCAAGTGAATCTCAGAAATTTACTTTCAGTTTTCAGCAAAACTGGTGCATTTAACAACTGTGGCATTTGTTTAACAAAATACTGCAAAAAAGGTTGCAAAATTGGGTCAAATGATGACCCACTGTATGACCATTATGATTTACAACTATAATGGGCAGGCTCCAGTATGATCATAAATTGAGAACTTCCTGTAATTTAGTTTTGGGATTCAGTACCACAAGCTCTGGTGCTGGCTACCAATTTGGCTGATTTCAAAGCCAATTGGGCCAATTCATGGAAATTGTGGAAATCAAATGCTATTAGCTTGGATAGTAGTCAAACGGCCACTAAAGGTCATCCGCTGAAGAAGCTACTTGGATAAACAGCAAAATGTTTCAAGCCAACAGAGAAAGAAAAGAAGTCCAGGTGCTATGATTCAACTTCCAGACAACTCTATCTGGATGAATGAGAATCTTCATTGATAATTCTGGTAGCGGTTGATGGTATCTTATCTATCTCCTGAAGGGATTTTCTTCTTGGCTTTTGTCCTGCTTATTAAGTGCCTGCTTAATTTTTAGGTATGGCAGCTTCATCCTAGTCTCAAACTATCAGGATGCCAAAACATGGCCAGATCTCAGGATTAAGATCAACACAGATTAGCACAGCATACTGAACACCAAGTTGTGTTCAGTTTCAAGTTTAGCAAAAAAAAAAAAAAAAAAAAATCAGCAATAACTTTTTATAGAGAGATTATTGTCCATTTCAGATAAAATTTAAAGCAGGGAGCAATATATTGTCCATAGAGACTTATCCCCTGGCCTGCTGGGAATCCCATCCAAGTTGACTTTAATTTAAAAAAAGTTTTAGTTAAAAAAAAAATCAAAGGAGACTGATGGATGCCCAAAAAAGGGGGGAGTCAGCTTCTAGGACAGAAGAGCATTAAAACCAGGTTACTTAAGAAGTCCTTTCACTGATTATTAGGTGTCTTGCTCTCAAAATAGATATCAAAGAGTAGAAGAGCAGTTTTTTTTCATTTCTTCTGTTATAGAACTCCTTTATGTTTTTTTTTAAATTTTGCTTATGCTTGTTAATAACTCTTTTAAGTAGGGAGCATCCCTGAGTGACTTCATATTTTGTTGCAGGCATCAAAATGTTTTTTTTAAAACTCTCTTAAACCATTAAATCATTTTAAGCCATTAAAACAATTAAGATAAAATGCAAAAATACCAGAGATCTTGCAAGATTGGGTTTTGGGATGTTAGCCTAAGCCTCAGCTGGGTTCTGTTTTCCCATCATTAATGACCAATAAGTCATGCTGAAGCAAGGAAAGCAACTTTCAACAGAATATTTCTGCAGAAATAGAGAACCTCATACATGGGACAGGAGTCTAAATCAAGCCAAGCTCCAAGAAAAACCTAGCTCAGATCTTTATACAAAATGTTTCTCTGTTGTTTTACAATGTGTCATTATATGTTATTTCTTTCACAAGGTTAGTGTTTATATTTGGTTGATTACATTTGTTTTGTTTGGTATAAGATTACATTTGCTGTAGTGTAAAAGATAGTGAAATTTTCCCAATCCTATTATTGTCAAGAGTTTTTTGCTGCATGTCTGTAGTTTCTCAGTTTCGCAAGGAAGCTGACAAAGAGAAGGGGAACTTAAGACAGTCTGGTGGGTAATTTAATCAGTTCTAATGTTTCTACGTAATTTTATCAATGTCTGGATGAATTAGTGTTGAAAACATTTTTTGAGACATTTTCTTATGAATGGGATTTCTTTCTCATAAAAGTGATAACTTTTATCAACGATTTAAAGGGGACTTTCTCTATTTGAAGGATTCCATTATTTTTATATTCTTCATTATTTTATGTTCTTAAGATGCCATCAAGCTATTAAGGGCAACTTTTTAAAATCCCTGATATTGTTTTATATTTTGAACTTAACTTCCATTTAGGGGCATAGTGGACCCCAACCAACCAATGACCACCTTATATCTTCAGTGCAGGCCTTTAAAAATGAATCATTTAAACTTGCTTTTCCCAAATAGGTAATTAATAGCTGTCACATTCATCACATATGACATCTGGTTGAATCATACATACTGGTATTGCTAAACCCAGTTTGTTGAATAAGCCCCCAAGGGTTGGTTTCAGAAAACGCAGTAGAATATTAAACTATGATTTACAAACCACAGTAAATTCATGCAACTTAACTAAGCCAAAATAAAACAAACCACATTATCACACAGCGCAGTATAAAGGTTTTATTGCTGGAAAGTGGTTATTAAACATATATTTGTAAAAACATATACAAATAAATTATAACTAAGTAACTTTACTAATCAAGCAAAAATGTTTGTAAACTGGCTACTTTGATATACTATGCAGAGGAAGCAGGATGAAATTAAATAAAACAAGGTACATAGTATTGTTTTATTTATTCACATCGGTGGGTTGCTACCGGTTCATGCTGGATCGGGCGAACCGGTAGCAGCATCAGTGGGAGGCTCCGCCCACCTGCCCGGATGCTTCTGCGCATGTGCAGGAGACCACGCACACCTACGAGCAAACCAGTAGTGACAGATTTTGAAACCCGCCCCCGATTCACATCCATCTCTATTCCTCTAAAAGTTCTTGATCTATGAGTTACAGGACTGAACAAAGTATCCCATGTGAGGGTTCTTCCAGAAATTTTTTATTTTTACTTTTCTAATTTTTCCTTTTGTCATTGTTATCAAGTTATGGGTCCATTTATTTTAAAAGTACTTTAATAACTCTTCCTATACTCTGAAATAATTGACTCTGAAGTATATTCATTTGCAAATATATACTGCTACATCTGCTCAATATCCCCGACATTGTTTTTTATCATAATGCTTTTATTCTGATTTTCATCAGATGGCACACGTAGAACCCCTCTCAATCCTAAACAGTACCTGGATTGAATGTAAATAATAGGAAAAAATAGTCTCTGAACTTCATGATTAGAGGAGATCCTTA